CACCTGAATGCCATTAGGGCACGCAACCACCCCAGAAGAAGAAGAACTTCGGATTCCAACCGATACGTGCCATCTAGAGACCCCAATGCAATGTCTTCGAAGGATAGACTATTCCGGGCCGAGACTGCATTGGGTTCAAGGTGCGGAGCAATGGCCATGCATTACCGTCCACTAGCTGGCCGCTAATGTATGATAATTACATGCAAGGTAAGAATGTCAATTTAATCTCAACAAGCTCTTAAAAAATGGCAGCACCAGCTAATGTCTTCGAAGTATAGACTGTTCTGGTTCGGGACTACCTTTGGGTTCCAGGTTGCAGGAGCCATAACAATGCGTTACACTCCGTTAGCTGGCAGCTGAACTATGGCCACCACGTTCCATTATTCTTTTCGATTGCCCGAGCTTGAGAAAAACGTTGACCGCAGGTCGAGTGAAACCATCGAAATGTCTTTTCATTCTGTCTCCTCCCCCCCGTCCATCACCATCGACACCTCGGCCTTCCTTACGTAGAGGTGGTTAGTGACCACACTCTCGATACCTTCGATGTCGTGCTGGACCGAGGAGACGATAGTGATGTTTCTTATACGTGAGTGGGTTTCTGCCTGTCAAAACAATGAAGTTAACCATCTTTTACCGGCGTCTCCCTCAATAGGATGTGATAGTGGAGATCATCAGCTTATAGTAACATCCAGATGCTCATGACAAACGGCCGCCTTTCCTCAGCCTCCACGCGTAATCGATGGGGTTCCCGAATGTGTGAAGAAAAGTGAAAACCAAAGCAATATCCCCCAAAAAAGAATACGGTGCATACGAAGACAGCCTTTTTCATCCACTAGTGACCGTCTTGATAGTTGCCTTCACCAAGGCACGACGACCGTCTCTCCTCGTGCATTTTGCCTTGATCCCAATACGCCTTAGTTCATCACCTAGTTTCGACATCACATTTACAAAGCTCCTCCATTCTTTGAACAACGAGACAGCGTAATCATGACCCTCAATTATAACACTCCTTCACGCACTCCTGCACGTATCGTGCTAACATACACCAGCGAAAGCAAGCACATCAGCAACTCGGACTCGGGAGAGACGAGAAAAGACGAGCTCACCCAGGCACTGTGGTGTTGTCAAAGGCATTGAGGCATCATGTGCCCGCCTTCGTTAAACAATTGACAACAATTTTTTCCGGGTATACTGCACGAGCATGGAAACAAGGTCTCAGGGTGTCCATCATGTCCGCATATAAACCCGAAAGCGTTGCCGTTGTTGTAATTTTTGACGCCGTTTGAGCACCCCGCTTTATAGGTCGACGGCCATAAGGATGTGGCTCAAGGTTTACACGTAGGCAGTAAAAGCGCTCACCTGTGGCAGGGGTGCATTGTATGTTCGGGAAGGCGTCGCCGAATGCTACGCCAGCCATTGCTGCAGCAGCGATGATTATAGTGGTGAGTGAAGTGGATTTCATGGCTGAAACTTGATGGTGTTCTCTTGAGTCCAGTACCCTTGACTTTATACACGAAAAAGCAATAGGGCGCAGCCAAACGCTTTGCATATGCCGGCTCACGCACCGTGACATAATTTTTCATGAAGGCCTTAAATGTGCCGGACGCACTCACGAGTCTTTGGTACGGTTGGCGGATGTGATGTCGGTCTGTGATGCTGATTTTATTCATCCAATTCACATTTGCAGGGATGCAATAGATGAACTCACCGCCTATACTTATATGCACACTCGATTAGAGCGATTGCCCGGTGCCCGCATAATTCTCCCAATAACCAGAGTAAGTAGGTCAGTGGTTGTGGTGACGGAGAACGTTTTCCGAAGACGTTAAATGGATGTTGCTGATACGAAACCTTCTTGATATCCCCAATATCGCGGCTCGCGAGTTGGACCCCACCACTTATTGGGCGTTATTTCTGACATTATTTAGTGGAATCCCGGTACACTGAAGAAACCCCCGATGATGAACGTTAGTAGGGGCGACTTGATGCAGGAAGAGGATTGCGATGTGATTGCAGGAAACTGCTAAACTCTTGACGGTCCCGATAGCATTCATATTCATTATGAACATTTCAACTGTGCTAGCATTTCCTGCTAGCCGATAATGAAGCATTGTAGGGCTGACGACTCACTTGTTTTGTGAAGGACAACATGCAATGTGGCCGATGCCGGTCGTTGAACCAATAGATCCGTTGTCAAGTTTAATAACTGTTTTTATTTCGCATTGAATTCTCATGAAGCACAACGAACTGGACAGGACCCCATAACGCTTCAAGTTGAGCTCGTTCTGGTGAAGGAGGGGAAAATTTAACGTTCGAGGACGAGGCGTTTGTAGTCTTACGTAATTACGTAAGGTCAATTGTTTGGAGGTTAAGCAAAGGGTTTCCTTCTCACTCGATGCGCACTCCCAGACAGAAGTATAAACACACCTGCACTTCATTCGTTATTCACAAAGGAGCTGTCCTCCTCGTCATAGACGCTTTACATTTCAATTCCATCGCAGCAGAACACTCGCCAGAACCTGCATCACCTTTCCATCGTGACATCCTAACTTTGCCATGCCAATTGACTACCGCTCATCCAAGACCGGTCATTTAACGCGCACTCTGACCCACCGACCTCCATTCATGAAGATTCTATCAGCTAAACGCTACAGGCAGAAAGGAATATGCTGGCTGTCTTTTTGCACTCCGTTTCCCTGATACAATATACGAAGGAAAGATGGCTCTCGCTAGCGAAGACACTTAGCGTCACCCTTTTCCCAAATGCCTTTCAGCCAAAGAGTCATTTCCCTTTGACTCCTTCAACATCGAATGACTTCACACTGTAGACCAAGGGGTCCGAGTCATCGATAATCTTCCTACCCTTGATGCGACATCATCAAACTCGTGGGTTAGTCACGGTTTAGGCGTCGACCACCCAGGTCACAGAGTCGGCCCAGATCATCCCGTTGTCAGATAAAAACTTGTAGTAGACGAACAATATTTTACGCTATGTTGTTGCAGCTATGGAGATGACACCTTCCTCATAATGCTCGGGGATCATGGAATGGATAAGATGGGTAGCCGGATGGGGCCGGTGACCTCTTGCTGTGGCACACTCATTCGGTCCACTGAGTCTCGTTCTCTCCGTTCCCTGCAGTTGATCAAATCGATACTTCTAGCTCTTTATTATTCCCAGTAAATTGACTTACGAAGGCGTCAGAGAACCTTACGTAGACCACGATATGGAGTGTATATAATTCATTGAGTTGTTCGACATGTTAGATAGTTGATTGGATAACTTAAGGTATTTGAGAACACGTACTTAATGATCATTAGGCAATGTGTGAAGTGATCAGAGATGTGATGCACGTAAGGAACGGAGGGAAGAGTATGTTCACGCGGCTCTAACAGCGGATTGAAGGAACAGAAGACTGTAGCATCGTGGGGAAATGTTTGAACATTGGGGATTCGCTTGTTTCCATTGTAAACACGCGGGTTTAAACTTAGGAATATTGAAAGAAATGGGTTGCTGTGAAAGAACATAGCTCATCGTCTACTATACAACACGTATATTTGACAAGGAGAATGCTGCACCATTATCATGATGTGCAAAAGGATATGCGAAACCTGAAGAACAAATGGAAATGGGGACATCAGTAATTCGGACTCGGGAGACAGCGAGAAAAGACAGGCTCACCCACTGGGCACTGTGGTGTTGTCAAAAAACTCATGGCACGCAATAGGGCGTGAGATGCCCATCGGGTTGTTCATCCACTACACAGCAATATCGAGTATTGCAACTGCATGGAAACCAGCCATCGATGTTTCCGTCAGGGCCGCAGATATACCCGAATGCGTTACCGTTGTTGTAATTCCCGATGCCCGCCGAGCACCCCCCTTCATAGGTAGATGGTCATAAGCATATGGTCTGAGGTTTGCAGGCTGCAAAAGTGCTCACCTTGGTTAGGGACGCAGGCGAAGTTCGGCAACTCGTCGCTGAATGCGATAACTACGCCAGCCATCGCTGCGGCAGTGATGATTACAGTGGTGAGTGAAGTGAATTTCATGGTTGAAACTTGACGGTATTTTCTCGGACTCAAGTACGTTGGCTTTTATACACGAATAGTATAGGGCGCAGCCAAATGATTTGCATGTGCCAGCTCACGCACCATGTCATGATTTCTTGAAGGCCTCAATAATGAGCATACAAGTAACCAGGTCAGTGGTTGCGGTGGCACGGTGACAGTGGAGCGGTGTATCCGCGACTGTGTGCCTGCGTGTCGTGAGCAAGGCAAGAAGTGGTGAAGAGCACTACGCTACGACAAAGCCCGAAGGACACTGAATGGCTCGCTAAACTACGGTGCTGCTCGGCTGCCACTCGGCTCCTACCCCCGGGGTCCCCTACTCCAACAGGGAGCGTTTTCTGAAGACGTTAAATTCTAGATGTTGCCGATATCGTTTGTGGAATGCTTGGAGATATTTCCTATATTACGACTCACGAGTTGATCCACCTGTGGTTCCCACGTAACAGATGGGCCTGATGGCAGGCAGGCCGATCAAATTTGAGTAATTCTGTTTACCTGATTCAATTGGCACAAACGACAAGGGATCATAAACATGAAGCAAACTTGACACTCTGGGCACAGCCCTACCTTTCTATTTGCGCCACACGAGATCTAAAGCGAGTCCAGTATAGACAAAGCTGGACCTAGTACTAGCTGGACAGATGGCAAAATGGCGCATGCTACCGTTACCCCGATCGGCGTACTATTTGAGCCAGCGCTACGCTGCTAAAGCGATATGTCCTAACTAGTCTAGGTCCCCCTGTTACTCGATTTGCCCCCATAGCCCATCAATAAGAGGTGATAGGCCCGGCCTCCTCACCACTAAGCCGAAGGGTTATAGCTAGGTTTGCAATATCTCTGCCTGGGACTTGTCTCGGAGAAATCAAGTGACAACTCGGCAACACCCGCGTATCTAATAATAATGCTACCGCCCGAGCTCGCTGTGCCCGACGACGAGCAGCCCGTTCTTGCTCATTTCTCAATCGTTCAATACAGGTACGCAGTACTATTACTAATTAGTAATATGAACGGTGCCACCCAGGTAATTTCCTGATGAATGTGACTTCACGGCCACTACAGACAAGACAGCCTCGGACTCTTCTTCATAGTTGATATCCAGCAGTACTAGACTGGCACCAGCTTGAGAGGTGGCGCTCGAAGTATCATCAACTTCAAACCGAGGGAGTGATAGCCCCAGTAATGCCGACACACTAATTCCGCCCTCATTATCATCCTCTTCTTCATCCTTGGTGCTTTCTTCTTCCTCAGTGGCGTTCTCTGTATCTCGGGTCATTCACCTGTGACAAAAATTGCCGCCTCACATCACCTGCACCTCCCCCACCCACCTCAGACCCTGATCTCCGAGCCTTCAGAGCCGATCCCAATTCCAGGAAGTGACCAGAAACACTGCCCTATCCGCTGCGAGACATATCACCTCTGGTGAGTTCTGCTTGCTGAATTTCCAATATGTGACCAGACTGATCGAGGATAACATCCAGATGTTCATGACCACGGCGCCTTTCCTCAGGATCCGCGCGTAGTCAATGGGGTTCCCGAACGTGTAGAGGAAAAGTAAAACTAAAGCAATATCCCAAAAAAAAATACGGTACATACGAAGACAGCCTTTTCCACCCACTAGTGACCATCTTGATAGTTGCCTTCGCCAAGGCACGAAGTCGTCTCTCCTCGTGCATTTTTGCCTGGATTCCAATACGCCTTAGTCCATCGCCCGACATCACATTTACAAAGCATTTTCATTCTTTGAACAACGAGGCAGAGTTATCATGACCCTCAATTACAGCACTCCTTCACGCACTCCTGCACGTATCATGCTAATTGTTCCATGCACTAGCGACAGCAAACACATCAGCAACTCGGACTCGGGAGACAACGAGAAGAGACGGGCTCACCCAGGCAATGTGGTGTTGTCAAACACATTGAGGGATAATTTGCGCGCCACGGTTAATTATTTGACAACAAGATGGACCACTGCACGAGCATGGAAGCAAGGTCTCAGGGTGTCCATCTTGTCCGCATATAAACCCGAAAGCGTTGCCGTTGTTGTAATTTTTGACGCCGTTTGAGCACCCCACTTTATAGGTCGACGGCCATAAGGATGTGGTTTAAGGTTTACACGTAGGCTGTGAAAGTGCTCACCTGCGGTAGGGGTACATCGTACGTTCGTCAACTCGTCGCCGGATGCGATGACTACGCCAGCCATTGCTGCAGCAGTGATGATCATAGTGGTGAGTGAAGTGAATTTCATGGCTGAAATTTGATGGTGTTCTCTGATACAAGTACCTTGACTTTTATACACGAATAGTATAGGGCGCAGCCAAACGATTTGCATATGCCAGCTCACGCACCGTGATATAACCTTCTTGAAGCCTCAATAATGTGCCGGACACACTCCACGAGTTCTTTGGTAGTACCGGTTTGGCGAACGTTGGTCTGTGATGTTGATTTATTCATCCGATTCACATTTGCAGGGATGCGACAGATGAACTCACCGACCCTACACATATACACACTCGATAGAGCAATGCCCGGTGCCCGCATGACTTTTCCAAAAACCAGAGTACTAGTAACCTGGTCAGTGGTTGCGGCGACGGCGAGCGTTTTTCGAAGACGTTAAATAGATGATGCTGATACAAACCTTCTTAATATTTCCAATATCACGGCTCGCGAGTTGATCCAACACTTGTTGGGCGTATTCCTGACATTATTTAGTGGATCCCAGTACACTGAAGAAACCCCCGGTGATGATCGTTAGTAGGGGCGACTAGATGCAAGAAGAGGACTGCTATGCAGTTGCAGTAAACTGCTAAACTCTTGACGGTCCCGACAGTATTCAACATTCATTATGAACACTTCAACTGTGCTAGCAATCCCTGCTAGCCGACAATGACTCGGAAGCATCGTACAGTGTGTTGCATATGAGATTGCAGTGCGTCTTTTTCAAAACTCGGCCTCGCTACCTTTACCGGCACTTGTATACCATAATTAGATGTCACATCTTGTAATACGCCGTGCGTCTGTGTGAGTGACTCAGTGCTTTGACCACCATCAGCATCGACCTGCGGTCCAACACACCACATGTGAGTCTTTGCACCTTCGCTACTTACGAACGACTTCGACCTGTTGTTTTTTGACTAGATGAATACTGTTAGTCGTTCTAACCTATCTGCCGCATTCTCGGCTCACGTACTGCAAGACATGGAATGCTCGTCTCGATTTGAAGAAAGCTGAGAAGAGGCAGCGCATTAATTGACTTAACTATAGATTGTTTTTCATTGATATTGACTATGCTCCGAGTCGTTCCTACATTATCACTCAATTTAGTTCGTGATGTGGTTGGATTCATACTACACTATATACTGATACTACACATTGAAGGACTGCCCTCGAATGAAAGTTGATCTGCGAACACACGCGCGCCCGATATCTGCCTATCCCTGCATCCTCTGATTGGTCTTGTCATCAACACTGGACTCATCCAGCCAGACAAAGTATTCAGCCGGTATATCCCCATATGCGGCTTGCCAAGTTACCCGCAAGAGCTCATTCCTCTCCGCAGCCGTTTTGGAAATGTCTTTGTGGGTCATTCCCAGCCTTCGAGTGGCGCGTGAAAGGGTAGCGAGAGAAATGTCTTTGTTCCGAGCAGTGAGAAGTTGTTCTTATAGTTCATCCAAGTACATGGCAGGGTTTGCCTGGAGTAGTGCATGGATGTATTCGGTGTCGACGGTGTCAAGAACGCGGGGACGACCCCTGCGGCGTGCAAAGGGGTTGGTGACTTGACCATAGTCTCGGTGCAAGCGAAGAATATTGTATACTGTCTTCTCTGAGCATTGAGCAAGCTGAGATATTTCAAGAGCTGTCCTGTGCTGTTCAAACCGCCAGAATATGGCGTTATATCAGCACTTTTATTATTTGCGCGTTGCGCACCCCTGCGCGCTGTCCCCCGCACTTGCGCATCTTGTCCAGAGCCTCCGCGTTTGAATTTAACCTTCCCCGCACTACACACTTCACACATCGAAATCTTTGTCTATTTGGAAAAGAGTGTGAAGTAATGAATGAGATATGTATGTGACCGTGATATATCATTAGCTAGTGCACCGCGAGGATGCAAGGTAGGAAGTATAGGATGGGTGATGTGATGAGGCGGGATGAGGTTGACAGTATGTACCGCAAAGCACGAGGAAGAACATGAAATGAAATTAGTACTATCTGTAGCTCAAAGGGTGATCAGCGATTCAAATAAGAAAGTTAGCAGCATTCTGCATCATGATATAACGAGAGTCCCAAGGATTGATGCGTTCCGGAGCGAAGGGGTCATCGCCGTCCGTTCTGTTGCGCCAGAGGACATCGTCCTCACTGACGGACACAAATTCGGGTGGAGATGACACTTTGAGTCGCAGGTCACCGTGACGGAGGCTACTGAATTGAGGCTGGGTTGGTGGAGGGGCTTGACAACTTGAACTTCCTGAGTCTGAAAAGAATAGCGGAACGTCACTCGCTGATTCTGAACATCAAATACATATCATTAAGTAGTATCTGAGAAAACAAGCAGGATGACGAACCTTTCTTATGTTTCTTTTGAACCACTCGGCGCTTCGTATCGGATGATGACTCGTCAGGAGAAAGGACTCGTTTCACTGCAAAACAGACAAGTAAGACGTGAACAATTAGTAGAAGTTCCATAACACTCACTGTGATTGGTACGTTTTGGTGTTCTTGCCTTCATTTTACCTTTGGGGTTTGAGTCCTTGACTTTGACATCAGTCAGATCCAATTCCATCAAGGAACTTGCGAGCTCGTTGTCAGACTTATCGGCAACTGAACCGTCCGTATCAGAGAAAAGTTGGTCACTCTCATCACGTTCGGAATCTGAACCTGCAATAACAGGCTGCGTGTTCCAAGATTCGTAAATATCGTCCGGGATCCGGTTCCTCGTTACTGAAAATTGAATTGGATTTGTTAGCACATAAAGGTCAAAGCAAATAAACATGAACCTACCAAACCAGAGATGGCATTCGCTGGCGCTGGCTTTGTCTCGTCCCTTGTGTTTTGAGAGGTCACTTCCAGTTGGAAATGCAACATCGACAACTGTCAACACCTGTCCAGACTTGTTTAGGAGGCGCCAAACAGGTTTTTCCTCATGGCTGGACCGTGGTTGGGACGTTCGCTTCTCAACTTGCGTATCCAGGTATCTGAAGACCTTTGGGAACCAGGTACGTAGGTTATTGGTGATCTTTGCATATGACCATCCGCTGTCGATTCTAAACTGCTGGTCGAGGTAGGGAACTGCATGGGTATACCCCCGGGTATCAGAGGCCTTACCCACACCCGTACCCGGCGAAAACCCGTACCCGCTCTGACGGGTGCGGGTTTTTGGCGGGTACGACGAGCTCATACCCTTACCCGCACCCGTGCAGGGTTTACCCACGGGTAATACATATAAATATTAAGTTAGCAATTATAAAAATATGAAAAAACGATTGTGAAAAAGGACAAACTCGCCGACACGCTGCAGACGGCGGGCAATGACTTCGATCAGCATGACTCGAGCTCGAAGGAGGGTTGACACACTCACCTCCTGCGAACAGCGGGAAACGACTTCAATCAGCATGGCTCGAGCTCGAAGGAGAATCGACACACTCACCTCCTGCAAACAGCAGGAAACGACTTTGATCAACATGGCTCGAGCTCGAAGGAGGATTGACACACCCATGCTACAAACAGCAGGAAATGACTTCGATCAGCATGGCTCGAGCTCGGAGGATCGACGCATCACTTCCCGCGAACGGCGGACTTCAATCAGCGTGGCTCGAGCTCGAAGGAGGATCAACACATTCACCTCCTGCAAACAGCAGACTTCGATCAGCGTGGCTCGAGCTCAAAGGAGGACTGACACACTCACAGGTGTTGTGTTGAAGAAGATGGAGGGGCATAGCAGCAGGGTGTGGATGAGTGCAGAGGATGGAGAATGAGGTTGAGGTTGGATAGCGGCGCTGTGCGCAGACAAGTGCCTGATATTGAAAAAAGGGTGTAAATACTTGTAAGTAATGTACTGTACATACATACATAGATTTTGAAAAACATACCTTTAAGTTTTGAGAGCAGCATTACCTAGAGTCAGCAACAATAAGATCTAATAGTACGAGTATAAAGAGGAAGCGTTAGTGATACTTTGAACAACTGAATGCCAAACAATTACCACATTAGGAAGGCACGGGTATGCCAGGGGTACAGGTTAGCCCGCGGGTTTTTGAATCCCGACCCCCACCCGTACCCCAGTGGTACCCGTACCCGTGACCCGCACGGGTTACCTGTACCCGTGCATATGCCTAGGTCGAGGTAGCACCCGCGGTTCCTCATGGCTTGTATTTCATTCTGGCCACCCTTGCCTGGGGCTTTGGCTTCTCTGATGAGACCACTCTTCTGTGAAATGATACGGTATTAGCTTGATTCATTGAGGGTACTACTTGACTGACATCGGTGCCGCAAATTAGCATGGCGATTGACGCAACTCGAAACACAGTGGCAGTCGCTGCTGTGGCACTATTAGAGGCAGTGTTCCGGCGCACTTGACTTGGCGGGTATGGGTTGGTTTTCTTTGCGATCCTAGAAGTTATCAATGAAATTTTGTACTAGCTGTCCATGTATATCAGGCTCATACCTTCCGCAAGCCAGCTGATGGCACCGGACCCTTGGCCAATTTATTGTAGCCAGCGAGTCGAGTAGAAGACAATGTTGAGATGGCTTCGTCCCGGGCAGCAGTGAGTGAGAGGCTCCCTCGCCTTGTGGCAGATGGCTTGTCATTGATGCTCCTGCCACCAGCGACTCGATCAAATATCTCCTTGATGGTGGCCGATGAACTTGGTTGAGGTTCGTCTTGAATAGTATCTTCTGGTCTGTAGTCCAAGACTTTACGAGGGTGCTTGCTACGGCCGTGGCCACACTCCACACAATGACCCTTGTCCTGTGACTGAGCAAAAAACTCCTCGCAGTCACATGGTTCACTGTCAGCCTTGACGCCTCTACAGAAGATGACTTTGTTGTTGCTCTCGCTGATGGAATCCATGCAATTACAGCGTCACACCGCAAGTGGAAGGGTGCAGAGTGAACGTGACTTCAAGAGGAAGCGAAAATGACCTGAAGTGAGTTATCGAGTCTGGTTATTGTGTCTATTTAAGCTAATACGAGATCACTACCAGTTGGGCTATGCAATGCTCTCATTCACGTATTAAACCAGTAAGTCTCGTCACTCTCTACCAGCAGCTAAAAAATATGACAACACTACTAATGCTTGACACCACAGCTTTGCTCGACTAAACCATATCAATTCTCCAAGCGACACATGAAGCTCTTTGGATCCCCGGCGACCAACGGAAATGGTCTCAAAAACGGGGTATCCATTACCTTCCCACTCATCTGCGGCCAGCCTGCAATGGCGTGGTGTTATGTCTTCGGCTACGACTTCGGTGAGAGTGGCAGAAAATTGCCGGTATGTTCCTTCATTGACGAAAGGGTTCCTTTGCGACGGAACACCAATGGCTTCATGGTGGACATGATCCCTTTGCTGATTATTGACCGCTTGTGCTATATCTTGAGGTTCCTCACCATCATCACTGTCTTCTTCGTCCATGGGATGACCTGCTCCAGTCTGGTGTTGGCGTCGAGTTTGCAACACGGCCATAGACGCCGTAATACTCTTCAATTACGTCGGGATGTATCCCTTCACAGTCATCTTGATATACTCCGAATTGTACCTGTCCCAAAAAACGTAAATCCTTTTTTATAATGTGTCAATATCATAGTTGTGTCAATAATGCATCTGTGAACTTACCTTTGGACTCTTATCATTTGTATCCGGACCGCTTATTGGATGACAATTCCATTCCGCTTGAAAGTCGTAGCAGTCCCGATTGATTTCGCTAAGAAAGAGTGTTTGAAGTAGCCAAATGTGACTAGGGATGTCGGGGCGAAGTCCGTGGTAATTCTCAAGGCGAGTAAAAAAACGCCCTCCATCTCCGAGCAAACTGCGTGCCCACCTCAACCCACAAACGTTCGATCCGTGAATTCCGGGTAGAACTGGTACTTGTAATTAGCATATAATACAGTAAATAAGTAGAATAACTTACGATCCCCACATGAATGATGCTCAGCGTGGTCCATGTTTCATTATCATATAAGTCGCAACATCAATATTCTCTCCACCGCGATCTCCTCGTACACGAGAGGGTGTGCCGTATTCTTGTATTGAATGTTTGAAAAGATCTAAGACAGTAGTAGAGCGGTTGTTGTTACTTGCTTTGAGTCCAGTTATCTGGCAAGGCTAGACGTCAGAATCAGATACAGATGAGACACATTAGACTCGGACCGTTCTGCAAAACCCGTCGATAAATCCATGAATCACGATTCCCCATCGAATCAGTTTATGGTGCCCATCCACATGCCATAGAGCATTTGGCCGCTTTACATAGTATTTTCGCCTGCGTTTGACTCGACGGTCTCGTAACACTTGACCCAAGCCATCCACTCTCCGAAGGGATTCTACAACTCGTCGATGTTGTACTCGGAGTCCATATCTGCGAAGAAAACCAATTATATATCTGATGCCGGAGTCCGGTCGCTTTTTTTTGAACTCGCCAACAAGGATATCGAGGTCGGCATTGGTGAGTTCAGAGTACCTTCGTATGATTCCATGGGCTTTCATATAAAGTCGCAGAGTATTTCTGTGGAGTCCTAGTGTCTTGGCCAATTCCGTCAGGTTAATAAGTCGTGAATTTGAAAGCGCTTCAGCGAGGAATTCAGTATCGATGATTTTTTTCGGGCGACCTGCACGATTTGTGCGCAGTAAGGTTACTGGTTCAAGGAACACTATGTCCTTGTCCATACTGCATTGCTTAATCAATGACTACTGAAATAAAGCAAGTCAAGAGTGCGAATCACCAGTTTTGAATATTGCATTGAAACAATGATAACTGCGCTGAGAGCTCCCCTAGCACGCCTGCCGCACGAGAAAGCCAATCACACATCTCATTTCCTTGGGGATTCTGTGCAAGCGCTGCCAGGAGAGGTATGGCATCTCCAGATAGTGTTTCTATATGAAACATAAGCTGAATTGGATCAGCGTCTTCTTGATTAAGAATCTGTAAGGCATGCCGGTAGATATCTGAAAGTATATCGTGTGCAGTGAGGAAGTTTGCTGACAACGGAACCTGAGTCGCTGCACGAAATGGGAATTGAGGAAAAACATCTGGTAGTACTATAGGCATGATGGCAATGACATTCGTTGTCGATGAGTTCAATGTTAGGACAACACGGTCACATGATTATTTCGTCATTTGTCGTCCTGGGATGATAGATCAAAATGATATTGGTATATAAATTATAGCTGCACTCCCTCCTCCATCCACCCGTAACAATCGTCCTTGCTTAGGCAGCTTCGATGGGCGTGTCTGACGTGCACGCGTCTGCTATCCTCACTGACCCCCTCCTGCTGCTCCGTTTGGTCGGTGAAATCGACCTACTGAAAGTCAGTGGCTTAGTTTCATGTATGAATTAATCTTCAACTTAGCTTTTCATTTCAGGCGAAGAGCCTTTGCTCAAAGAATCCAAGCGCTGTTTCGTTCTTTTCCCCATTCAATACCATGAGGTTTGTTACTGTCTGTCCTCCTGTTGACTTCGTTCTAACAAATCATCATATATGGCAAATGTACGAGAAAGCCGAAGCATCATTCTGGACTGCTGAGGAGATGGATCTCTCAAAAGACATCCGGACAACTTCAACAAGTTCTACGAAGCTTTCGGCAAGAACTTGAAGCTCGGTATCCACGAGGATGCCCAGAACCGCAGCAAGCTCACTGAGTTCCTCCGCTTCTTCTCCACCAAGGCGCTTGAGGAACAGACTTCGCCCAAGGGTAAGTGTATCTTGTGTGTTCCGTCAGGACAGCTCCCTCACAATGTTTTCAGATTACATCACGTGTATGCCCGAGGTCCAGAAATCGATCTATCACCTCACCGGTGAATCTCTTGGCGCTGTTTGCGACTCACTCTTCCTTGAAGCGCTCAAGAAGAAGGGCTTTGCTTCCTTCTCGTTGACCCCATTTATGAGTACGCCGTCACGCAGCTGAAAGAGTTCGAGGGCAAGAAACTTGTTTGTGTCTCGAAAGAGGGTCTTGAGCTCGAGGAGACTGATGAAGAGAAGAAACTACGTGAAGAAGAGGCTGCTCACCTGACTGGACGAACCGTCTTAATGACAACGAACGTCATTTTGTTTCACACGTCCTCGCCTTCTTCGCTGCATCCGATGGCATTGTCAATGAAAACCTCCTTGAACGTTTCTCCAATGAGGTCCAGGCTGCTGAAGCCCAGTGCTTCTACGGCTTCCAAATTATGATGGAGAACATTCACTCCGGGACCTACTTACTTCTCATCGACACTTACATCAAGGATTCCACCCGGCGCGAATACCTCTTTGACGCCACGGAAACTATTTTTGCGTCAAGCGCAAAGCTGACTGGGCCCTCAAGTGGATATCTGATCAGCATTCCACCTTCAGTGAGCACTTGGTCGCCTTCGCTGCCATCGAAGGCATCTTCTTCTCTGGTTCTTTTGCGTCCATCTTCTGGCTGAAGAAGCGTGGTCTGATGCCTGGACTTACGTTCTCCAACGAGCTCATCAGCCGTGATGAAGGTATGCACATCGATTTTGCTTGCTTGCTCTTTAACCACCTCAAGCGTCGCCCGCACCCTGATATTGTTAAGTGTATCATTATTCAGGCTGTTGTCATCGAGCAGGAATTTCTCACTGGTTCGTCATTACCTTCTTTTTGCTCATCTCACGCTGACTGTCTCTCTGTATGCTCTCCCTGTTGGCCTCATTGGCATGAACGCCAAGCTCATGTGCCAGTACATTGAGTTCGTCACAGACCGCTTGTTGGTGTCGCTGGGCAACGACAAAGTGTACAACGCCACCAACCCATTTGACTTCATGGACATGTCTCACTATAGGGGAAGACCAACTTCTTCGAGAAGCGCGTGTCAGACTACTCAAAGGCGAACGTCAACCACACGAATGCCAAGACCAACCAGGTATCGAGCAAAACTTTGTGAGTATACTATCTTTCTGGTAGACTTTGTGTTTAACAATGTTTCATCCAGCTTGTTGGAAGAGGACTTCTAGTAGATGTGTCATTGCGTTCACCTGTTTTCATATATCATACTACCCCCATGCACTATACCTCATTGCACTATACCTCACTGCACCATACTTCATGTCCAACCGACACTCCGCTGACTGACTAAGGGTTCTAAACTCCGCCTAGTCATACCAACGACTACCCAATTCCCTCATGACATACGATTAGCTTGAACTCTCTAAACGTCTGACTCTCGCCAATTTTACCATGTCTAATGCACCAACCCGACACCCAATATATTATTTTCATGCTTCAAGTCATATTTTCCAGGTGGGGTTCTTCTATTTATCAAATTGTTCCTTGTTTGAAATTTGAATGTTATGCTGGCCCAAGGTTGAGAATATGCTGTACAAACTCTGCAAATCAATTTTGTCGACATCTTCAAATGTTTTTCGCGATATGTTTACTGCCACACAGAGTGGACAAATCGAACTAGATGGAATGAGTGACGATCGGCCCATTCGCCTTGACGGATTGTCCCGGGAGACGTTCGAACTGTTTCTTGAACATACCTTTGGAAGGTATGTCAACTATACATCATCTATTCTTCTTACTGTTAACCTGTTGAACTATTTGCAGAGTTCGCACTGGCTCTTATACTACTGACGAGCTCTCAAGATTCCTTCACTTTTGCGACATGTATCAATGCCGCCATACACAAGAATTTGTTGTGCACCGTATATTCACTGCACGTTTCCGCTTTCACCCGGCTCAGTTGATCAACCTCGCCATCAAATACCATGTCCGGACCATCTTTCCTTTTGCTTTCCAACAACTGGCAGAAACACCGATCTCTGAAATCACACACGCACACCGGGAGCTAATGGGACATGAGGTATTTTTGAACATTGTTTATGTTCAAGCGGCACTCGATCATCATCGTCGGATGGTAGCTGCAGAGGAGCCGAAAATCTTGATGCATTCAAGCGACTGTCAAGACCCAACAGGTTGCAACGAGGATTGGCATGCTATTTGGTGGAATGGAATGGGCCGGTTCCTCCTCGATGCCAGGAATCCACAGCCATATAGTGACGCTGTCAAGCGCTTCAAGGAACTGAAGTTTGGACGGGTTAGTGAGGGTTGCAAGGAGCTGATGTTCAAGCTCCTGGATCAGGGAGCCGCCTTTCATCATGCTGAACATTTTATTTCTGAAGCTTGTCACCTTCTGGTTGAAAAGTTGGTTTTTGAGCCATAGTTTCAGTCATATTTAGTACCTTGACTTTATTTCAAACATGTGGCGAGCTTGAGAACATAAGTATAGCAAATCAGACGCAAGACTCAGAATGCTCGTCATGTGCACGTTTTCCTGGTCATGCGACAGTGTTAAATTCAAACGCGGAGGCTCTGGACAAGATGCGCAGTGCGGGGGACAGCGCGCAGGGGTGCGCAACGCGCAAATAATAAAAGTGCTGATATAACGCCATACCAGAATACGATATTCTGGCGCATTTCCTGGCTAGTGAATGACCCTGGCATAACGAACTGACTGAGGTTTCGTTTCATCAAGCGGCAGTGGCTAGAGTGACATGTCACATCCCTTGACCTAGTTAAGGTATACAAGTGCCGGTAAAGGTAGCGAGGCCGAGTTTTGAAAAACACGCACTGCAATCTCATATGCAACACACTGTAAGCTGACGACTCGTTTTGTGAAGACAACATGCAATGGGGCCGATGCCGGCCGTTGAACCAATAGATCGTGTACATCAAGTTTAACGTGTTTTTATTCGCACGAATCCCATGAAGCACAACAAACTGGATAGGACTATAGTATAACGCCTCAAGATGAGCTCGTTCTGGTGAGAGGAACATTTGAGTTCGAGACGAGGTGTTTGTAGCTTACGCAAGCAACGATATCTTGTGAATTCTCGAATTTTGAGCATATGTGGCATATGGTATTCAAAGGGTTTCCTTCTCACTCGATTCGCACTCTCAGACAGAAATATAGACACCTGCACCTCATTCGTTATTCACAAAAGAGCTGTCCTGCTCTGATCATAGACGCTTTTAATTTCAATTTCATCGCAGAACACTAGCCAGAATCTCCATCACCTTTCCACCATGACATCCTAACTTTACCATGCGAATTGACTGCCGCTCATCCAGACCGATCATTTAACGCGCACTCTGACCTACCGACCTCTATTCATGAAAATTCTATCAGCTAAACGCTGCGGGCAGGAAGGGATGTGCCAGCTTTCTTTTTGCACTCCGTTTCCCTGATACAATATACGAAGGAAAGATGGCTCTCGCTTGCGAAGACACTTAGCTGACCCCTTGCCCAAATGCCTTTCAGCCAAAGAGTCATTTCCCTTTGACTCCTTCAACGTCGAAGGCCTTCACACTGTAGACCAAGGCGTCATCAATAAACTTCTACCCTTGATGCGACATCATCAAAACTCGTGGGTTGGTCACGGTTTAGGCGTCGACCACCCAGGTCATAGAGTCGGCCCAGATCATCCCGTCGTCAGAGAAAAACTGGAGTAGACGAACGATCGTTGGCGCTATGTCGTCGCAGCTATGGACGATGACACCTTCCTCATAATGCTCGGGGATCATGGAATGGATAAGATGGGTAATCACGGCGGTGACAGCATCCTAGAATGACAGCTCTTTGGATCTATAGCAAGGACCCTCTTGCCCTTTTCTCTTTCCCAATTCCAGAGGCCATTCTACCGATGATCACATTCCTAGCCGCGTCGGCTCTCCCTATTTGATGTTCTGGCTCATCTTCAGCGACGTATGGTTGATGACACCCCTTTCGGGACAGATCGTCCTTGGATTATCAGCCGTCGCTCTTCTCTCCTATCTAGAGATCCTCGACAGCGTCCGAGGTGTCCGCAGCCTAAACAACGCAGTCACATCCTCCATACTCGACCTCGCAAATACCAATCCAAACCACGCCCTCTTATTCTCATTCTCAGAAATCGTACCCCTAGCGCTCCTAGCGACGCACATGTACTACAGTACAAGCCACCAATCGACATTCTCATCCATCCAAATGGAAAAGCGCATTCATCCTCTGAAAGTCGCTTTCCTTCCCCTTTCCGTTGCTCTCAATACCTTTGGGTCCTTTTTCCTCGGGGCGCTGGCGGTGCCGCTAATCGTACTCTGGAACCTCTCCCCTTTGCCCGCCCCAAAAATCATCTCGCCCCCATCCAAATGCACTAAGAGCCGCATTAGCGATATCGGCGTGTGGGGCGGTGTTGAGGAGGCATTTGATGGTATGGAAGATCTTTGCGCCCAGGTATTTGGGTGCTGAGTCTGTGCTTTGGGTGGTTGATGTAGGCGTTGGTGCTGGGAGGGTTTTTAGGGGGCTGGGTGCATGAGAGGTGTTGATGAATTGAATTGAATTGAGTTCCCATCACTCCGGTCTCGTACCTCTTTTTACTAGCGGCCACAGGAAGAACTCGATACTTGGGGAGATCAAAACGTGTTGATTGTAAAGCGACAAGGATTTGGTACTCGGGTCGGAACGTATCTAACGGGTTGCAACGTTGGCTGAGAGACACCGTGGACACGTGTACTGTCACTGCGTTGATGATCGCGGTAGCTTTGACGTGTTTAAACTTTAGGAAGGTTGGGTACCTGTACGAGCGTGTAAATCAACTGTCTTGGAGGAGAGAACAATAGTCTTCTCATACGTCCTGTTAGATCCATGGGTAGTCACCTGCCTCAAGCTTACGGCCATGGGCGCCGGTGAACGGACACCATGCTTCGTCTTCTATTGTCCGTCTAATATAAGCAAGCGCTCATGTCGGATCATTACGTTGTATCCCGTGCCCGTCGCTCCTTTGAAAATCAGTGTCACCCTGAGCCTCCCTCAGGCTGGTGCTCCACTCTATCATTCAACTATTAGGACCCACAACGCGAACGCAATTTCATGTCCAACTCACCACCACCAGCTCCTGCCTGTTCGCACACAGTAAGCGTCCAGCTCCCTGACCTCCTATCTTCATGTACACCCTTTGAACTACGCGTAAATCGGCATTGTAGGTCCGTGTCTCGAGCGAGCGAGGCGTGGCTGCGCGAGGTAGGGTTGAAGCTGGAGTGGAAAGGGATGAAAGTTGGGTTGTGGGCTGCTTTGTGCTATCCTGGTGCGGATTTAGCGCAACTGAGGTTGGCGGTGGATTTTTTGAGTTTGTTGGTTTATGAGCAGGAGCGGGGGTGGGAGCGGAATGGTTGTAGTGATGAGAATAAAAATGAAAATGAGAACGGGATATTTGATCTGTGAGTTCCCATAACGGTCCAATGACTTGATTTCGCTGACAATGTGTACGAAGGATATCCGACCGACTTAGTCGCGTCGCGTACAAAAGTCCAGCGTGGTACATGCGTTTTCATCGATCCATGCGTACGTATTACGATGCAAGGCGGCGCCTTCATTCGTTGGATTCGACGTGTATCCCGGATCTGGAGACATATGTCGATCTGCGAAGAAACGCGTCAGGTTTGAGGATGGTGTTTCACCTGATCGAGTACGCGGGGGGATTGGACCTCCCGGAACGGGTGTCTTCGCATCCGGTGTTGAAGCGGTTGACAGACCAGGCTTGCGACCTTATAGCTTGGTCTGAGGTACGTCCTTGCATGAAACATGTACTTGGGATTAACGTCTGTTCTAGGATGCTATCTCATGCGCAAAAGGCATGACTCCAAGCTCACGACTCAATATCGTCACCGTCCTAATGAAAGACCGGAACTGTTCGTTCGGGAGTGCGCTTGCGTATATAGGCACGCTCGTGAAGCAGACCGCAGATGCATTCTTGGCTACTGAGCGCCAGTTCGCTGCGTGTGGTGTGATAAATGACGATACGAGGCGGTATGTCAGGGGGTTGTGGGATTGTATTGCTGGGAGTGTGAATTGGCTGTATGAGACGGAGAGGTATTTGGGGACGAAGGGGAATGAGGTTAGGGCGTTTGGATGGGTGTTTGTGCCCGTCTTCGATTGATGTCCATGTATACATACGAGTTTTGTGTACGTATTGGATGTATTTCGATTTCTGACTGACTGGGAGTGTGAAGGTGCCATGCATCGTTCCGTGGGTCCCCCGTTGTTACATAATTAGTAGCCGTATTATAGTATGTCCATTGTCGACTTGGCAGCTAAATGCATAGTTTCTGCACTAAGACAGCCACCGCGTTCGAATTAAACTTGCCTACTATATCATGGCTTGAAATAAATTGGCATTAGATATACTGCTGCACAGACGATATGCAAATTTATTATCTTGTCGATTTAGCTCGTGATGTTGGACGCTGGGGAAACGAATGAGGGCGATACCGCATTCATCATGATGGTGCAGCCAGTCGGTGACCTCTTGCTGTGACACACTCATTCGTTCCACTCAGTCTTGTTCTCGCCGTTCCCCGCAGTTGATTAAATCGCTCTTTATTATTGACTTGCGAAGACGTCAGAGAACCTTATACCTGGCCTTGGGTTTCAGATCTCAGATTGGAGTTGTTCGACGGGGTAGATAGTTAATTGTGTAACAGGTTTTTGAGGACATGCGTGACTCGAGTGCCTGGGACGAACAAAGCGAAAAAGAATAAGAGAGACAACCTTTCATTAAGGAGGCCCAGACATGCCAGGGCGACAATATACTCGTCCTCTTGTTTAAGGAGGAGATGCATCTGCTTGATGGGGTTGAGGCGGCGAGGGTTGCATGGGAGGCTGGGAGGGGTTGGTTTAAGAAGCTAGGGCAAAACCCAGCTGACTGGTGGTAATATGCGGGCACAAATAATGATGATGTGGATGATTTATATGCTGCTGTTGTGTGGGCGGCGTGTGGGATGCAGGACGTGGGCAAGGGGGATATGTTTGCGTAGTGTTCGGACTGCGATTGGGCTGGAAAGCATCTCACGAGTTCGCCCCATTGCGTATATAGTATTGCTTCGTACCTTGTTATACTCGCCCATCCTTGAAATTCATTTCCTATTTTCATTCGCACCAGAGCGTCCGAGCGAGCTGATGTGTCGGGGCGCTCCTAGGGGGTTAGAAAAACTAGAAGTGTTCCAAACATCGAGATTGTCATGAAAATCACTGTGGCCCCCGTCTATTGCCCAGTTTATTCGACATCACACTTACAAAACATCTTTGGACAATGAGACAGCGTAATAATGACCCTCCATTATAGCACTCCTTCACGACCTCCTGCATGTATCATGCTAATTTTTCCATGCTGGCAAAAGCAAGCACATCAGCAACTCGGACTCGGGAGACAACAAGCAAAGACAGGCTCACCCAGGCACTGGTTTTGTCGTACATCCGGGAATGACCATCCCAAGGCCCGTAGTTACTCCACAGCAAGTTGGACACGAGCATGGATACCAGGCCGTTATGTGTCCGTCAGGTCCGCAAATATACCCGAAAGCGTTGCCGTTGTTGTAATTTTTGACGCCCCCCGAGCACCCCCCTTCATAGGTAGATGGTCATAAGCATGCGGTCTAAGGTTTGCACGTAGGCTGCAAAAGTATTCACCTGTGTAAGGGGAGCAGGGTATGTCCGGCCCGTCGCCGGATGCGATAACTATGCCAGCCATTGCTGCGACAGTGATGATTACAGTGGTGAGTGAAGTGGATTTCATGGCTGAAATTTGAAACTTGATGGTGTTTTTCTGCGTCAAGTACCGTTACGTTGGCTTTTATACACGACTCAATAGCATAGGACGCAGCCAAATGATTTGCCAGCTCACGCAACGTGATATAATTTTCTTGAAGGCCTTAAATAATGTGCCTGACGCACTCGACGAGAATTTTTGATATAGTTTGGCGAACGTTGGTCTGTGGTGATGATTTATTTATCTCACATTTGCTGGGATCATGATGCGGCTGACGAACTCACTGACCATACACACATAAACACTCGATAGAGCGATGCTCGGTGCCCGCATGACATTGCCACCAACAAACCAGGACATACAAGTAACCAGGTCAGTGGTTGCGATGGCACGGTGGCAGGGAGTGTTTTCCGAAGACGTTAAATATATGTTGCTGATATCGGCTGTGGAATACTTGGACGAAATCTTAAGCTTGATATTTGCAATATCACGACTCACGAGTTGATCCACCCCCTTACTAGGAGTATTCCTGCCATTATTTGGTAGATCCCAGTACCTTTGAAGAAACCCCCGATGATGATGGTTATAAGTTATACCTTGGGAAGTTTTACTGATGTGAGTCCAGACGTCATTAATTCATTGGCGGAGTTCGAAAGCAAACAGCACTCGGCAAGTACTCAAGTAATTGTTGAAGGAAATTAATGGCTATCGTCTGCCTACTATATTATTACTAGGGGAAACTTCCTCAGCAGCGTGCGTTGAATCTTGTTTTTGTAAATTTAGTGATTGACCCAAATTTTGCCGACACTACCTTCATCCGAGTATTTTTTGAACACGGCGCAAATGGTTCTATTCCGCCTCCAAACCTTCTTGACAAGATTGCGTCTGCTGCTGATAATTTGAAATCAGGCCCCGGAGCACACTGTACACCATCTACACCAGCACCCTACCCACTTGCGTCTTCCAACGGGACGTTCACGTACTCCCTCGATAGCTAGTTTATCAACGCTCAATGCATTACAGACCCATATTCGAAGTTCTCCATTTCCAACTTGACGTTCTGCACTCCCGTTTCCCCCTCTGCTCCACTTATTCCTTCATTGAAGTTATCAATAATCAGACCGTGTCTTTCAACAGGTTCTCTCTTTTCTTCTTATTCCACAAACTCCTTCTCGTATCATGTACAGCAAGTTGCATCTCGTATATTCAAATCTTCTCTTGCAGTCGTCTTTTTGAAAACTGACCTGGTTTCAGTACTTTGTTTCCGACTTTTTCATTTTCTGTTTGTCCTGTTCGCCTCCACCCTACTTTGTACAGCCTCCTATTTCTTCCGCCTATCTAATACCCACCCATGCCTTCGCTCCTGACCGGTTTTGTTTGTTTTCCAATCGTCAAAGGTATATCTTGAATGTCCCCCACCTTGTATATGCTGACAATCCATATTTCATTCTCTATTTCTTAAGATGCCCCAAGGCCACACACTTGCTCGTTCGTTCGACGCCATGCGTGACAATGCACGCTTGCACACTCCTTCGTTCTCCTCTGTAAGCAGTTACTGGCACCTGTCGCTCGTCCCATGAAACGCGCAGTTCACATTCCCTAGTTTTCGGTTTCTTGATCTTATCAATATCGACCGCTGCCTCTTTTGGACAGTGTTTTTTACGGATGGAGGAAAGTCTTCCTTTAATGAACGGCAGATTTCTCTCTGATTCTCCCTCTTCCAACCGGCTATTTGTTTCTCAAGCTCGTTGACGACCTTCATCTATCTATTCACCAGTGCATCCATCCAATCCCGTCATTGCCTACATATGAACCACCAAACTGGAGCCATCACATATTCACTAACTTCGCATTCAAACCGTTTACCATCACTGCTCATTCATCATCGCTTTCGCTCCACTGCCTCCGTTCCTGTTCACATCACTTGATCGTTCTCTCTTTGTGCAATAACCCCTTCCTTTTTCGTACGACCCTTTCCCCCTTTGTACAACTTCCAACTTTCTTTGCACGAGCTGCCCTTGTCGCTACACACGTTGATCGTATTTTATGCCAGAGAATTGGATACGACGCATGTATGTACTTTTGGTCGCATTTGTACTAATCGGCGTGTACATGAATTAGAAGAAAGGTTGTGGACCCCGTTCGCGTCGTAATTGACAATGTCTGCCACGAGGTTACTAGTCAACTTGGGCGCCGTTTTAATGTCATCGATGGGCCGAGGTCGAACCCCTCACTCAACTGTACCAAGAGTACCAATTACCAAAAGAATACTTCGAAGATCACACTGGCAGGTTGCCGATATCACGAAGAGTTCTCCGATCTTTTGCGGCGTTCAAACATTCCATGCGAGTCGCTGCTTTAGGATCTCACCAACAACTTCGATCTTGATCCCATCGGTATCCCTGGATGCACCTTGTCTTTCTACTGGAACTCATGCTAAAATACTTGCTTCGATCAATCAGATATCATCCTTCAAATCTCAGTTTGGCGATGTAAGCGCTGGATGGTGGTATATCAAGCACGAATGCGATCGTTATGCTTCCGCCAAGTTCCCCGCTCGCTCACTCTCATCCTCTAATAGTATGACTGTAGTCTCGAATGATCCCATTTGGTGGCCACTCATCAATGCGAACCTTATTGGCAGCTATTTTATAGGTTCGTGGAGAATCAGCCACATGACGACGTTAATGACTCGAGTAATCTTGGCTACGGTTTTGCAGTTGCTGCCTCTGTCGGGGTCATGTACGATTGGGGTGAGCAAGACTAAGTATGAAAAGGCCACTGATATCCTTATGGATTCTCAGTGCTTACGTTTGGACAAGAGGTACGTCGATCCATTACTGGGGCAGCCAACTCACTCAGAATTGTGTTATAGGTCGAACTGATCTGGGTGAGCGGACTTCCACATCAAAAGAACGATGTCAAAATACAACTTGTTCATGGCAGAGACAACGCTGGTCCTTAATGACCGTTCTCTACCTCGGTGTATGTACCTCGTCTGTCAATATTTACGCCTAGCAAGTCCAAGTTTTGCTGACTATCCTAGGTGCGCTATGGTGGAATAGGATTTTCTGTGTATGTTTGGAGGTTTAGGCCATTGATGTCGCGCTCATTACTCATCTCTCACAATCAGGATGTACATGCTGGGTATGTATCCTCGCATAGACTCTGTTTCTTCTAATGACGGGCGGCATACAGACAGTGTTCCAACAATTTCGTTGACAGATGCAGTGAGTATTCCACACTGATGCCTTCCATTCCCATCCAAACAACTGAACTGCCATGCAGGGGTGAGCGTCATTCTCGAGCAACTCGTTGATTCAACATAACGACTCCCACAGTTGTGAGTTTGTTTCGAGCCTGTGATCTTCCGAAGTTGATAACTATTGTTGCTGGATTTGTCAGGCCTTGTCGTTTACGACGCACTTAATTGGACAAATGACGTTGTAGAGGTAATACTGGGCGGTAAGCTATACGCCTCCGTGATATTGACTTGACTGAAACATCATGCAAGTCATCATGATTGCTCGGTTACATGCCATGTATCAGCGATCCAGGAAGGTACTGATATTTCTCGTTGTCAGCTTGCTGGCCATCACAATCGCCAACGCAGTGATGGGCGTAATAATGATGTTACGTATTTCAGGGGGTAAGCTTTAATTATGTATGAAATGTTTGAGTGCATCAGGCTCATTGACAGATACCAGAGGAATACATTCTCTCCGGCACCTATCAGTGCAGTATTGGCTACGCGGGAGATTCCATATTTCTGGGTTCCATGACTTGGATACTTGGGACTGTATGGGAGGTCCTCGCACTGTGCCTCGCGGTGTGGATTGCTATAAAACACTTCCGTGAATTGCGACGACACTCAACAAGTGGCATTATCAGGGACTGTTTCACGGTGTTGATGCAAACTCATGTGAGTTACTTTGCAAGGTGAGCTTATAATGTGAATGTGGTTCTCTTGTTCTCCTGAAGTTTTGCACGTGCTAGTTTTTTGGTTATCTCGTGCTTCGAGATCGGTTTATTCTCTCCAACGCTCTCAGCGGTATGCTAATCTGTCACCGACCTTTACATGTAATCATGATTCATCGTTTTTATAGGACGTATTGTCCCTGGACACTCAGATTTATATTGGTCTCCGTCAGATATTCCAGGTCGTGCAGATGTTTGTGCTGGGACCACGCCTGATCCTCGGTGTTCGAGAATATCACGCTAAGCTCGTGGCCAACTCTGATACAGCATCCGCTATGTCTTCAGTTGCTTTCCAGGAGCAAGTCCATGTGTCAACCAGCAATAGTGTATAGCGCAGGAGATGCTTGATATGATTGAATTGTGATAGGCAGGTAGTGTGCAGGGAGCGGGAGAATTTGTTTTTATTTATTCCAGGTTTCGTCGTGGTACTTATTCAAGTTGCGAAGTATATATAAGTCATACAACAGCTTTTGGCGAACTATGAGCAGAGATCTCTCCCTGATGCTGAGGTTCACGTACTCGATCTTAGTGCGTACCGGCTGGTGGAAGTCTTTTCGCTCCTGATGCCATTGCTGAAAGATAGCTGTTTCTAGGATATCAGAGAAACACTCAACCACTCAAGTGGCGCATGTGGACACTGTCAGCACCCCTATTTATTCTAGCTACTTCAGGGTTACACATCAAGTACCTCTAACAGGACTTTGGCTGGCAGTTCAGGCTACTACATCTTCATTGAGCCAAAGCGGATCCATGCTGCAGTGCCATAGACCACATTCGAATTAGGACGACAAGGGCGAATAACGACAAACTAGCGTGCACACTGGACGGTCCGACTCAGAGCTAATTTTCAAGTGTTGTTAGAACGAGATAGATAGTTGGTGGGGTACAACAAACCAACCAGTAAGAAGAATGATTAGACAATAACATTCGCTCAAAATCTTGAAGTCTATGGAGTCATAAGTAACCACTTTGGCCAAGGCGAAGTTGAGATGAACCTCTGAGGAACTGTTCATGAGTGAATCTTCAAGGCGTGTTCTGATAGAAATAAAACATCGTCGGCAGGTTTCGAACCTACACTGTACAGTCCAAGAGACAGATTTCGATTCCGTTGCAGTGACCACTTTGGCCAGAGCGAAGTTGAGATGACATCTGAGGAACTGTCCATGAGTGAATACTCAAGGCGTGTTCCGGTAGAAAAAAAACCTGTTGTTTGGCAGGTTTCGAACCTGCGCAGTACAAGAGAAACAGATTTATTGTGGTAATCACTTTGGTGAGAACGAAGTTGAGATTAACATCTGAGGTCTGAGGAACTGTCCATGAGTGAATCCTAAGGCGTGTTCCGATAGAAAAAACCTGTTGTTTGGCAGGTTTCGAACCTGCGCAGTACAAGAGAAACAGATTTTGATTCTGTTGTGGTATCTACTTTGGCCAGGACGCTTGATGGCCAAGTTTAGACGAACCTCCAAAGGACTCCATGTCGGCAGGTTTCGAATCCACCCCACCCAAAAGAGCAGATTTCTAACCTATTCTGGTGACGGTTAGCTATGACTACTCAAGATAGGCCTTGAAGAATCCATCCACGAGTGAATGTTCAAGGCGTGGTCAAAGGAAAAAAAGATTGTTTGTCCTGTCACGCTTACCACTTTGGCTAAGACTGGTCAAGATGGACTCATTCGATTGACGGTAGAATCACATGGGATTAGCAGTCATTCACCAAAAAAAACCTAGTTTGCGTTTAATTCGATGGACACAAAACATCAAAACCTGCACATCTGAGAAGGCGAATGGGCACATCTATCGGCTGTCGCTACATAGATGAAACGCATGAACTATGGGGAACATTGACATGTGGGAGACCCTTCTCCGATACAACTCCAAGTACCAACTGTATTTCCGCGAATTATCCTCGGGCAAGGATCATTGATCATCCTTTGGCCCTCGGATCCCAGTTATGTAGTCACCGTTACTAGAGCGACTTGGAAAGAATCGTCAGAACATGTTTCCTCTGATGGTGTAGTATTTCTCGATATCCTCGGAGACTACCTTGCTCATTAAAGCTTTATGGTCAGGATGGTTCGTTACGTACTTAGATGGATGGGACAGTCGTTCATTATGTAAATTTGTTATTAGTGACTCTCAAGTACTGTCTACTATTTGCAGCTACGTGCCTTCAGCAGACTCTCTCCAGACGTGGCATCAACTGAAGGACTACTAGATTGCGGAAGGAACGAGTGCAAGACATTTGGCTGTTGATTCTTCTTCAAGTTGGTAGGATCCTGAACCTCCGACCTGAGGTACTAATAGCCTATGGCTCGTCCTTGATGACACCGATGTCCGACAAGTTGAATCCGAGTCCAAGCACATCGCATTCATGACCTGTTCATTGTTCCTCCACACCTCTGACACGCATCAATCAATGTCCCTGTCACCCATACGCACGCTCGCCCGCCGAATTTAGGGTTGTCATCAGCGAGAGAATCCATGTTTTATTTTGACATACACAATTCACTCAGCGCCACACTGGGTAATGGTCTGTAACGTCTGGGTCCCCAGTTTCAAGTGCGTGCATGTCTATTTGTACTTCCTTTATCCTAAATACATATCTAGCGCCGCAAGGCAAATGGATCTGAGTTGTTCAAATAGTGTGTCCACCTCGCCCGTACGCCCACTCTCCGCGTCCGGATTCACGTTGCAGGTTCTACAAACGCTTAAGTATTAAACCGAGCTGAGCTCGCCGCTCCACCTCGGTAATACAGGGTTGTCATCGATGAGACAATTCACGTTTTATTTTGACCTACTAAGTTCACGATCCACGCAATGGCAAGTCAGCGCCAGGCCGAGTAATGTCCTGCAACGCCTGGGTCCCCAGTTTCAAGTGCGTGCATATCTATCGCATCCTTCCTTCATCCCATCCCAAATACGACTCCGAATCACTAGTGTTTCTCCTGCAAGGTCTTACTCATGGGTTTTGGATGGTTTCGAGCCTACTCCCAGGAATTCTGCCGTTTCCTGAGTCCTCCACATGCACAAAATCTGGTTCCGATCTCACGGACACAGGGGCGTTTCTTGCCAATGCCACTCGTATACTTCACCCGGTTATTCCTTTGCGAAAATATTGATGAGTTCAAGTCACAGTACCAGCCGACCACCGTGGTGAGGCGATCGCGGAGCCGTAATTGGCGGCGACCGCGGCTGATAGTTCCTCGAGTCTGTGAGAATTTGTTGAGGAGCAACGGTATGCAAGCGGTTCGTCTTAGATCAAGTTCCTTTGATTTTCATCTAATAACTGGTCTCTAGTGCCGCAGCCAAGCCAAGCCAGAACTCGCACAACATTCAATAAGCCCGACCCTGTTATCTACTGCTGGTAATGTGAATCCTGGTGTAGGTCCATCGGAGGTGCATCGAAGTACACATTTGTACGATCTGCGCAATCTGAGATCCACTAAGTAATATCAAGAATACGTCCGGTAATGGGTGAATTGGTGTACCACTGTAGGGGGGCAGAAAGGAATTGGCCTTGTGGCAATTGGCAGAATGACAGAAGTCAGCAAAAAGTATTGTGAGCGTTTTTGGCTCTTTTCGACCATGTTTCTACTATGGTAAAAATAGTTTCGACTACACCTTCTGACGTCAAAAGCGCATCAATATTCCACCCTGATGCACTCTTTGAGCCTCGATGAATGGGCGGATCAACTCTTTCACCGCAACCACTGGCATGGTTACCAGTATGCTTTGGTTCATGGCAAAGGCATGTAGGCACCGAGCACCGCTCTATCGCGTGTTTATATCAGTGTATGGGCGGTGAGTTCTTCTGCCGCATCCCTGTAAATGTGAATTGGGTGAATAAGTGATTATCATAAACCGAAGTTCGTCAAACCGTACCAAGAGGACTTGTGGAGTGCGTCCGGCACATTATTTGAGGCCTTTAAGACGATTATGTCACGGTATGTGATCTGGCATCTGTTCGTGATGCAAGCACATGCACATCGTTTGGCTGCGCCCTATACTATTCGTGTATAAAAGCCAACGTACTTGACTCAGAAAATACCATCAACAGTTTCAGCCATGAAATTCACTTCACTCACCACTGTAATCGTTACTGCAGCAGCGATGGCTGGTACAGTTATCGCATCTGACTCCGTGAGCCGACCTGGCGACCAATCTGGTGAGCACTTTTGCGACCTACGTGCAGACCATAAACCACGTGCTGATGGCCATCCATTGATAAAGTGGACTCGACGGGCACCACAGATCCCGAGAACGGCATCGATCTCGGGTTTAACTGCCAAACTATCGGCCTGACTGGCACGTTGCTATGCTTGTGCAACGCTTTAACAACAATGGGAACTTCCCCATCCATTGAGGGGTTTATAGGTTGCATTTGATGGCATCACACTGCCTAGTGAGTCTGTCTTTTCTCGTTGTCTGCCCAGTCCGAATTGCTGATGTGCTTGTTTTGTCAGGGCGTGAAGAAGTGCACTGATTGAGGGTCATGATCATCTATCTCGTCCAAAGAATGAAGATGCTTTGTACACGTGATGTCGAATAAAATAGGCGATTGACGAGGGCCACATTGTGGTTTTTATGACAATCTCGATATTTGGAATGCTTCGGATATTGAGCTTGAACACCGGCAAACCTATGGTTGGTCACCCGTATGTGCGTCACTCCGCAGTACCTGACATCCTTGTTCCGGTTGGGCCTGTGTGATAAGCGAAGCTCATCAGGTGTATGTTTATCCGTTATACATCTTCTGGGGACTAATATTCTCTTGAAGATTGACCGAACCCTCGAGCATCTGGCCCAGTATGTGTGCCTATGGTGAATAAAATCAACGAAGGAATGGTCATGAACCCACGCAACTTGATGTGGGGGTCAAATGTAGAACATAGGAATGCTTGCACTAGCGCTGCGTCAAGACTCGTCAGTCCCGCGTCAAAATAGCTACGCCCAGATGAATATACGTCCCAACTACCGGACGCACAATGTACTCACCTGGTGTCCCTTGTGCGCCTCTGTGCCTTGTACGCGTGCCAACGTCGTCTCCCGTACACTCATCCAGACATCAACGAATACTGAGAGGTGTTGTGTCGTGTGTTGGGAGAGAGTAGAGCTTTAAAGTAGCAAGAGTGTAGGGTACAACGAGCACCAGCATGAACTCTGAAGTAAATTATAGATAGATGGGAGAGCCGTGGCCGCCACGATGGGAAAAACCAATTCTGAAGCATGAATTTGAAGGACACGAGGGAGCGATCAGGGATTTTGTTTTCTTGCACAATAACGTCCGCATCATGAGTAGTTCAAAGAACAACACTATGCACAAGTGGAACTGCGATACGGGACTTGTTGTCGAGGAAGCGTGGAAAGGTGGGGGCGTCTATGCATTAGTATTGGCACTTGCACCGGATTGGAAGATAGTTGGGAGGGAGGATGGAGAATACCAACAGGGAGATGTTCGAACGTTGAACGTCCGTGGCCTTCGCAATCGGAACTTTGACTAAAAGAGGTGTAGCAGCGAAGTTCATATTCTAGAATCTTCTGGAAGGACTTCCAGCTTATCTTGAAGAACGCTGACTTCCAGGACACGGAGCAGGACAACGCCTGTCCACCAAGTCCGAGTCTATGTTGAACCCGATGAAAGCGCCGGTTTCTTGATCATGCCCTATGATTGTTCCATGCTCTCCGAGATCTGTTATACAGCAACATGTTGTTCACCCAAAACTCGAATTTAATGCTACGGCTGTGCAGGAGCTTTGTGATTTGGCAGCACCTTTGTCACCACGTGGTACCTTGGTTGCTTCCATTTGAATTTTAACCTTACCACTCGATCATGATCCGATATATCTGCTGTACTAACCCCGAGTCTCTCAAGTTTGGTATCATCTTGTCCAAATCACAAATTTCCAGCCTCAGTGAGATCATATTCAGTATCACGGTCGGATCCAGTATATTGATACCTGACGCGCAGATAACAGTCCCATCAAGTTCGCTCCATATTTAGTATCCCCTCCGAGTCGGTTTGAATCGGCTGTCCTACTAGTAAGTCTTACTTGAGGTCTATGTCGTCTGACAACAGTACTTAGGATAATAACCTGTCAAGGGTTGTGACATTCAGACACGGTGCCACCTTCGCAATATGCAAAGTTTGGAATGCTCTACTTTTCTTGAGCGCTCTGAGCCTCCCAGCCTTTTCATTTCCGCTACTTCAATCAATATCGTACCCTACAACATGCCCTTGCTGTATAAATCTGATGCCCATTGTAAATGAGGCTATTGATGTTCTGTGAGTCGCTTCTGTCCTCGGTCCTTCACGATGTGGATGTCACATGCATGCTGTGATTCCCTCACTTATAATACATAGGGACTTTACAAGCACTGCAGTGTTTTGTGGCCTCCGGCACACATCGTGCTATCAAGTGTTACTTTGGATCCGTCTCTTAGACATATGGCCCTGCCTCGACATGTCACCTTTGAGTCTTCGAGCTCATCCGAATCAGACTCTGATTCAGACTTTTCTTCAGCGTCATTGTGTAAAACTTCTTTAGTAGAGAAATCCGCTCCCAGTACCGAGCCCTTGAAAGGCAGAAAACGTAAGTGCGAGTCGTCAGGCAACGATAACGACAACAAGACGAAGAGTTCAAAATGTCTACGATCATAAGTCGTTGTGTTGTATAGCACATGTATGGACTTAATCTCGCGTTTTCAGGCAAAAAAAGGACAAGTAAGTATATGAAGCACTGATCAGCTGAATGCCTGACAATGTGCAGTATTGTTCAGTGAGGAGTCAAGCTACCCAGAACACACCCAGGACCCGAAAGAGATACACCAACAAGGTGTCATTACCGGTATGTAATATTTACCTCCGCTCAGCTCGTATTAACAATTTCCCTCAAGCCATTCATGCAACTGATCTCACTCTTGGTCTCCAATGTATCCCCGCTGGCTTCCATGCAGTGATAAAGACTGACGGTGCTGAATGCCAGACGAGCAACAAACCTGTACACGTAGATCAGGCTGTCGTCAAATGGACCGAGCCCATACTTCTGTATGTTGTCCCTGATCTCATCTTTCCTGCACGTATTGAAAAGGACTCTAGGCCGTGCGATCTATCTTCTAAAGTCCGGGTCAGCGTGTATGCCTCATTTGAATTGGGTCCGATGCTCGGTCATGGAGAAGTCCTCCGCACATTCGAGATCTCCGTCTGAGAATTGCTGGATCGCAGTGAAAAGTCACATCGTCAGTAATATATTTTGCAAATAACATCTGACAGATGTTAACGAGTATCATAGCCATACTCTTTCAGCCCAAGCAGGGGGAAGTCGTATCTCCATGTACTTCATTGTTCATGACACTGGAGCAGCGACTTTCTGATGAAAACAACGCCGCAGTTCTTTGCCCCGTTACTACTGTGAGTGATCAATACAGTCTAGCATTCTAGTCCTGAGAGCTTGCAACGTGTAGCTTACATCCCACAATATGGATGTGTTAGTACTAAAGACGGATGCCGGACATCGTCTTCTCGCGTGATACCATAGGACGCAGAACAGTAGGGATATCGACCAATCCATAAACCACTTTGAACGCGCCTCAGATCTCTGCCCCATGGACCATCCCTACCGCCCTGCAGCACTGCTCAATCTAGCTACCGCAAAGTTTGTCAGTTGCCAAGCTGACGGAAGACACCTCAACCTCGATATCCCTATCAACCTGTTTCAAGATGCTCTTGATTTGCATCCCACTGATCACCCGGACCAAACCATCACCCAGCATCTTGCCATTGCTCTGTAATCTTGCTTCGCGAAACAGGGATTTCAAACGGATGCTGATGCAGCTAGAGAGTTACTGAGTAAAATCCTCGATGTCTGCCATGCCAACAGTCACATTCACAGAGCAGCTTTGATTGCAATCGAAACATCCACTCTGTATTCTGCTGAAAGCATTGATGCAAATGATCTTGGGCAGGAGCGGCCCGCCGCACCCATGCTTCCGTTATCCCTGAATCAACTTGCTCATCGAGCAAAGTGGTGTTTGCAGAAAGATGATCCCCGTTGGAGTAGGGGTCCCACGAGCATAGCATAGCATAGGAGAGCCCAGCGGCCCATTCCGAAGCTTGGTCAGCAGGGTAGCATAGGTTGTCTTTGTCAGTAGAACACACACTCTCGCTCCGAGTTGAGCCTTTCTCTGATTCTTGGTCCAGGGTCGTCCATCCTGCTCAGCACCTGTGCAGCTCTCGGTTCGAGTCCAGCCACCCTGTCCACCATGCCTTAGATGAAGTGATATTCCTTCATTATGATGCACTGGGATACTATAACACTGAGCATGCTTTCCGAGGGCAATTGCTGTGTAATCTGAGTTTAATGCTGAAGACTCACTTCAATCGTTGAGGCAATGGCGAAGACTTGGATCAGGCGATCGCACTTCAGAGGGAAGCGCTGGCTTTGCGCCCGGTTGGTCACACAGATCGGTCCCGGTCATTAAATAACCTTGCCGGTCAACTCTCCTCCCGCTTTGAGCACCGAGGCAATGTCGAAGACTTGGATCAGGGTATCGCACTTCAGAGGGAAGCGCCGGCTTTACGCCCAGTCGGTCACACGGGTTGGTTCAACTCATTAAATAACCTTGCCGGTCAACTCTCCTCCCGCTTTGAACACCGAGGCAATGATGAAGACTTGGATCAGGCTATCGGACTTCAGAGGGAAGCACTGGCTTTGTGCCCGGTCGGTCACACAGATCAGTCCTTGTCATTAAATAACCTTGCCCATCAACTCTCCTCCCGCTTTAAGCACCGAGGCAATGAGGAAGACTTGGATCAGGCTATCGCACTTCAGAGGGAAGCGGTGGCTTTGTACCCGGTCGGTCACTCAGATTGGTCCAGGTCATTATATAACCTTGCCGCTCAACTCTCCTCCCGCTTTGAGCACCGAGGCAATGGCGAAGACTTGAATCAGGCTATCGCACTTCAATGGGAAGCGCTGGCTTTGCGCCCAATCAGCCACACAGATCGGTCCCGGTCATTAAATAGCCTTGCCAATGGACTCTCCTCCCGCTTCTCGCACCGAGGCAATGACGAAGACTTGGATCAGGCTATCGCACTTCATAGAGAAGCATTGGCTTTGTGCCTGGTCGGTCACACAGATCGGTCCATGTCATTAAATAACCTTGCCGGTCAACTCTCCTCCAGCTTCTCGCACCGAGGCAATGATGAAGACTTGGATCAGGGTATCGCACTTCACAGGGAAGCGCTGGCTTTGTGCCCGGTCGGTCACCCAGATTGATTCAAGTCATTAAATAACCTTGCCCATCAACTCTCCTCCCGCTTTAAGCACCGAGGCAATGAGGAAGACTTAGATCAGGCTATCGCACTTCAGAGGGAAGCGCTGGCTTTGTGCTCGTTCGGTCACTCAGATCGGTCCAGGTCATTACATAGCCTTGCGAATGGACTCTACTACCGCTTCTCGCACCGAGGCAATGACGAAGACTTGGATCAGGCTATCGCACTTCACAGGGAAGCGTTGGCTTTGCGCCCGGTCGGTCACACAGATCGGACCTGGTCATTAAATAGCCTTGCCATTCAACTCTCCTCCCACTTTGAGCACCAACGCAATAGAGAAGACCTCGACGAGTCACGAGACAACCTAGGCCGTGCATTGACTCTGTTGACGCAACATGATCCTCATCAATTACATGTCCATAATTCGCTCACTAACGTCTATCTATTATTCCATGGACTTAACGGCACCAGCACGGGCGAAGTCACCGACAGTCTGAATGCTGCCATGCATAATCTCAAGGCAGCAGCAAATGTTGTGTCTGCAGGTTTGCTGCCTCGCCTGCGAGCAAGTCTGAGCTGGGTTCGCCATGCTCTTCAACATTCACATGGTACTGAGCTGGAGGCTCATGTGACTTCCATGCAACTTCTGGACGCTTACATGTCCACGACAGCTTCAGTATCGTCTTGTCACAATATCATGAAGGACTTCCTGAGTACACTTGCCGTTGATGCTGCATCGTGTGCTCTTCGTAGTGGTGAGGTGTGTCGTGCTGTTGAGTTGTTGGAACAAGGCAGGACTATCATCTGGACCCAGATGACACGACTCCGCACACCTCTTGACAGCCTCCAGACATGCGACGATCACGCAGCGGCCCTGATAAAGAAATTCAGAGACCTCAGCTCCCTCCTCGACAAACCTCCTGCGAATGATCGAGAAGCAACCTCAAGAGTCAATGTAGAAGCACAAGAAGCCCGGTACAGACATTTAGTGAAGGACTGGAATAGAGCTGTAGAAGAAATCTGGAAGATCGAGGGCTTCTCTTGCTTCCTCCTTCCCCCCTTATTCTCCGATCTTCAAGATGCAGCTCGTGATGGGCCTATCATCGTGCTCATTGTGAGCAAGTCGTCTTGCGATGCCATTATTATCCTGCACAAGCAACCTCCGACTAAGATTCCACTCCCTACCAATATTGAGAAACTCCAGATATTGGCGACCAGACTCCAATGCAGAAGTACACCAGCGCTGACAACAGCCTTGGCGGAGCTGTGGGATGACGTAGTCTGCCTGGTGGTCGAAAATCTGGGCGGACTTGCATGACCAAGCTCTCGAATATGGTGGTGCCCGACGTCTGTGTTCAATTTCTTGCCCTTGCACGCTGCTGGCCAGTACTGGAGAGATGGGCAGTTCCTTTCACAGTTCTACGTCTCTTCATACACACCATCGCTTACCGCGCTGATAAAGGCTCGCAGACATGACAGGTCTCTATCAGTGTCCTTTGCTGCCATCGGTCAGGATCACCCAGCCGGTGCTTCGCACACTTTGGAATGCGTGGAGCCTGAACTGGAATTAGTGCAGAGTCTTTTACCCCCTCCCCCAACCGTTTCCTTCACCAAGATAACGAGCGTTGATGCAATGCAATCAAGGGCACTGTGCGCGCTGCGAGAGAATACTTGGCTCCATTTTTCGTGTCACGGGACACAGAAATATGAGGACCCCTTCAATTTGGCCTTTCTCATGCGAGACCAGCCACTTTCACTCCTTGATATCGCACAAACAGATCTGTCTCGGCATGAATTCACATTTCTCTCTGCCTATGATACCGCAGTCGGTGACCAGGATACTCCTGATGAAGTGATACACCTAGCGGCCGGCCTGCAATTCGCTGGGGTTAAGAGTGTTGTTGGGACATTATGGAAGGTCAACGATAGTACTGTGCAGCGCTTAGTCGAGGCATTCTACAAAAACTTGTGCGGGGATGGCAAGATGAATTCCAAGCAAGCTGCCTGAGCGTTGCACAAAGCGGTCCAGTTATTGGCTTGCGACAAGGACATGCCCTTGGAGCAGCGCATAGTGTTTGTGCATATTGGCATATGATCAATTTTGTGCGTACTCCAGCTTGTTGATTAACGCGTTAATCTGACGATTTCGCGTGTAGTATCAAGTCGTGGTTATGTGCAGCCTGTTGCCAAGATAAATTTCCATTTTTCAGACTGTGGAACTATATACTTCCCGATATGTGCACTCATTGTAGACTTTTATTTGTACAGTCTGTTGCCTCAGAACCACAGGTGGCCGCTCCTAAGATGCACTGGTGGGTAAGAATGAAGTTCAAAGTCATATAATATTCGATGGCAGGAAGCATGGGGCTGCATTGAGCTGTGCGCCCGCAGGAGTGCGCGCCAGCCAAAACTCACAGCGCGCCCACTGATGGGGTCTGTGGGAGCACAACTCCAGTAAGGCTACTCAAAGCGACCAGCCAATCGACCGCTCAGTTCTGAATCAACCGACTCCTGTGCTTCTGGGAACCCGCTAGGTGAATACTGTAATGTGTCTTTCAAACGCGTTCGCTTGAGGTATGCTATACATCGTACTCTGCCTTTGTCCAGAAGCGGGTGACACGGCCTTGCTTGGAAAAGAGCGCATTAAGCTGAGTACGAGCCTCTTCCATCTTACGAGCATGCCTGTGAACAAGATGGTGATTTCGACGAGGCAGTACTTGTAGAAGAAGCAAAGAATGAGAATAAGGGATGCATGGATAAGTGTTGGTGGAACTTGAAGCGTGCAGGTCATATAGTAGTGGTAGGGTGTGGCCGACGCCATTGGTTGGTTTCAAGAAGGGGGCGACGAGGACTGTGCAGAGGTTTGGTTAGGGAAAGAAAACGCGGAAGTTGTACTAGATTGGTAACTCACGAAAGGAAGCAAAAGCCAGGAAGAATACAGCGAGAGGCCACCATACTCCATCATACGCATTAACGTACCACACAGGAAGAGTGACCTATTTGCTCACCTTTGAATAGCCAAACAGCATCTGACTTCTCAAGTAACATGTTCAAGAATTATAAGTGCGGTGCCCAATTAGTCCATGACACCGCTTTGTATGCGTCAGGAGGAAGATCGCGTAAAGTGGTGAACATGATTACCAAGAGGAAGGCACGAGCTGTGATGCATCGATGTACAATATGAGACATAGTAATTCGTAGACTATGAGGCAGAACGTAAGTGGTTCGCACATGAAGAGCAGGCAGACCAAGAAACATGTAGTGGTGAGAGTAAGCCAGGGTATGCGACTTATAGCAACGGCACTTGTGCGCCATAGTACCTGTTCCTGGTATGTGGAGAAGGCAAAAAACCAAGCTATACAATTGTCAATGAATGCCGCCAAATATAGTTGCCACAAGCAATGCAGTAAGCAGAATAACTATGATGTCCGAATTTTTGAGTTTGATGCTGCCGTCTTCAAATGTTGGAACCTGTTGGAACGGCATTTTCCGGCAGGGTCTTTATTCTCGCCTTCATAACGTTCTCAAGTGTGGCGCAATAAGCAGGCGTGTCTCTAGATTTCTGGAGTGCATTTAGCTGTAGTGCATGTCGTGGTATCATGTTCATGTCTTCTTACCGTCTATTCAATCGCGTCAACTTGTTTTCAACCAATTTAAACATTGGCCCGACACGTGCTAAATACATCTTTCCGAGTCGTCCTCCCACTCTCGGCTTATCCAAGCGGTCATTTGTGAAACGTCAGAATCATACAAGGACTACTACTGACATGTCCTTACTTCAACACACCGGTCCATCAACGCTTTACACGGAACTAGCAGAGTTACCCCTTCCTGTATCTGCTGATTTTGTTAGTGGCGATGGTGCGTAGGCTATCAACATAATCAGAGATTGATGATAGACACCCGCACAGTTGCACGCGTCACTTATTCTGTTCGCGATCACGAGCGTAACATCACACGATCCCTCACAAAGACTTTCCCCGGGGGCATCACTTCTGATAATCAGACAACCTCCCATGATTCCTCTGAAGTTAAGGCGTTTACAACATCTCCTTCCAAGTCTCGTCAGGCAATCCTCCGAGAGGTTGCTAATGGCACAAGTACGAAACGTTTCATCGAAATCTGGGCCGACACCCAGATAGAGGCTTCCTTGGATGTTACCAAGTACCATGATGCTTTCCATACAGATGGTGAGTTCAATAGTCTGCGATTGTCCTGAAATACTTGCAAATCAGATGTCAGATTTCACATCATCGCTCTCCTTCTCCCCATCGGAAACATCCCTTCTATACACCGCCGAAGCAAACATCAACAGCGATGATAATGCTTCAGACGATCCTTACCCTAAATTCAGATACACCCCGCACTTTGGCGAACCATCTTGCGCCAAGAAAAGATCGACCATTTTTCTATTCCGCTGGACAAGATCCACGGCATTCACCAGGGCTGCTAAGCAGGACATGTTGCTCGTTGCCCTTTCGTTGGCACAGCCTACCCGAGTACCCGTCCTGTTTGGCCAAGCTACTTTTGCAACGGAAGATGTCATCTATGCCAGTGGACACGAACACACCAAAGACGGTCGACTGCTGGGGGTTAAATGGTGCTTCAATCGTCCAATGGGCATATGGGAGATTAAACTTCCCGAGTCAGCAACCGTGCAAGGGACACCTTTTGGCACCAAAATATTGTGTAACGCATTGAAGCTGACTCCGTCAGAACGGTCTTGCCGCTCACCTCGTGTGTTATACAATGATAGTCATACACCCACTAAGCTCTTCTGGTTCTCAAATCCCGTCGGTGGTCCCCACGCATCCTGCGTTTCTCTGGAATCTCGTGACCTAACCACAGGTACCAACAAGGTCCTCGTGGACACCGTGATGGAGCCTACCCCGGAAAACGACTTTCCAGGCCTGTATCCCAATTATAACATGCCATCCAGCCCGTTTTTACGTTGTGGAGACCGTACATACATCGTGCTCCACTCCTTATGGCGCTCTCGCGCGACGATCCTCTTCATCGATACAGAATCAGGAGCAATTTCAGACAAGACAAAAATGCGAGATGGCGAACCTTTGTATAGTTGGGACTTGCATGCTACAGACAACAAGACGCGCCTCATCTGTTCAAGGAGCACGCCTACTACCCCATCCGAGGTATTACTAGGATACTTTGATCAACACGACAACCTCAATTGGAAAGTCCTAGATAAGCCAACAATATCTTCCGCGAGTTCGTTCAAGTCAATTTGAATTATTGCCAAGTCTCATCACACCTTTCAGCTGAAAACGCACTTCGTGATCTCACTGTGTCGATCATACCCATCGGTGCGCGTCCTCCAACAGAGACTCTTGTTATTCAGTCGAAGAAAGCTTCCACGCGACCTGGCCCGAAACCCATCTGCATTACCATCCCACATGGAGGACCACATGCATCATCGACAACATCATTCTACTCTGCTACCGCTGCACTAGCCCTAGAAGGATGTAAGTCTTTTCCAACTTCGCAGCTGCTGATCACTTACGGCAAGCATGCTCCCAGATACCCTCTCCCTTCCCAACTATACCGGCTCTATGGGATTCGGTGAAAAATATATTCAAAAGCTCCTCGGGCACTGCGGAAAAATGGACGTGCAAGACGTCGTAGAGAGCGTCAATGAGCTCATCCGACTCGGTATCTCAGAGCATGGACGACAAGTCGTTCAAGGTGGAAGCCACGGCGGTTTCCTCACAGCGCACTGTAAGACACCCCTTCTCCAAAAAAAAAACATTTTTTTTCACATCGACACTGACACACAGTGATCGGCCAATACCCAACCCTATTCAATGCAGCAGTGATGCGCAACCCCGTAACTAGCGCAGGCGAACTAACAGCGTCCGACATCCCCGACTGGGCCTATGCTGAATTCGGACTCCAATTTACCCCGGACTCGCTCATGACGCCTGCTACATTCCAAAAACTTTTCGAAGCATCGCCTATCGCACACGTCGATAATGTACGCGCACCTGTGTTGTTGTTGATTGGAGAAGATGACTTGCGTGTGGTACCGGCGCAGGGGTTGAGGTATTATCATGCGCTCAAGGGCAGGGAGAGGAGAGTGGAGATGTTGTGGTTTAAGGGGAGACGCATCCACTCGATGGGATCGAGGCGGCGAGGGTTTCATGGGAGGCTGGGAGGGATTGGTTTAAGAAGCTGGGGCAAACCAGCTGAGTGATGGTAATATGCGGGCATGAATAAAGATGGTGTGGATGGTTTAAAGGCTGCTGTTATATGGGCGGCGTGTGGGATGCGGGGCGTGAGCAAGGAGGATACGTTTATATAGTTTGGTGTTCGGGTTGAAAGTGCTTCGCATGTTCACCCCATTCCGTGTATAGTATTACTTGGTACCGACTGCTCTATTATACTCGCCCATCCTCAAAATATGTTTCCTATTTTCCTTCGCACCAGAGCATCTGAGCGAGCTGATGTGTCGGGGTACTCCCGGGGCTTGGAAAAACTAGAAGTCCTCCAAATATCTCGCAACTTAAATCAAACATCAAGATTGTCACGAAATCCACAATATAGTCCCCAAATAGTCTAGTTTATTCGACATCACATCTACGAAGCATCTTCATTCTTTGGACAACGAGACAGCGTGATCACGACCCTCAATTATAGCAGTCCTTCAAGTCCTCCTGCACGTATCATGTTACTTGTTCCGTGCTGGTAAAAGCAAGCACATCAGCAACTCGGACTCGGAAGATAACGAGAAAAGACAGTCTCACCCAAGCAGTGTGCCATTGTCAAAACAAGAAAAAAACTTAAAAACAGGTGCAGGTGGGTACAGGTCATCGTGATCGTCACCGTGATCGCCAACTTCCTGAACTTCATTCAGATAACAGCAATTTTTGCAGTGGCATGGAGTCCAGTCCATCATGTATCCATTATCTGAGCAGATAAACACGAAATCGTTGCCTTTGTTGTAACCACCGACGCCCTTTGAGCACCCCTCTTTATACGTCGATGAGCACAGGGGATGTGGTTCAAGGTTTACACGTAGGCTGAAAAAAATGCTCACGTTTGCCATGGTCGCAGGGTAGTTTCGGCCCGTGGCGGACAGATGCGACAACTACACCAGTCATTGCTGCAGCAGTGATGATTACAGTGGTGAGTGAAGTGAATTTCATGGCTGAAACTCGATGGAAAATGCACGTTGGCTTTTATACACGAATAGTACAGGGCGCAGCCAAATGATTTACGTGTGCCAGCTAACGCACTGTGACATAATTTTCTTGAAGGCCTTAACTAAGGTGCCGGACGCACCCCACGAATCCTTTTGGTACGTTTGGCGAATGTTGGTCTGAGATGATGACTTGTTCATCAAATTCACATCTGCAGGGATGCGACAGATGAACTCACCGACCATACACTCGATAGAGCGGTTCCCGCATGACTTTGTCACCAACCAGAGCATATTAGTAACCAGGTCAGTGGTTGCACTTGCAGTGACGGCGAGGGTTTTCCGAAGACATTGAATAGATGTCGGTAATATCGGCTGTAGAATACTTGGACGAAGTTGAACGATCTTGATATTTCCAATATCACGACTCACGAGTTGATTCATCCCTTACTAGGTGTATTCCAGACATTATTTAGCAGAGTACGCAGCGCAGAATCGTGCAAATGCGTACTTCAATACAACTCCGATGAACCTACACCAAATTTCATATGGCCAGCAGTCGACAACATGCACGGACTTATTGTGTGTTGCGGGGGTTTTGTTATAGATGAGCTTGGCTTGACTGTGGTACTAGAGACCGGTCATTAGTGTTAATGTTGACGGACATCAAAGGAACTTGATTGAAGATGAACCGCTTACATACCGCTGGTCTATTCCCCCTCAACAAACGTACTTCGCGGAGAATTACCGGCTCCATGACTACTGATCACGGTGGTTGGGTGGTACTGCTTGAACTCGTCAATATTTCAGGCGACAGTGTTTAGCCGTATTGCATTCGCGATGCAAAATCCTTCCAAAGAACAATACGCATGCTACTGTCAGCTCAATCGGACGAGTCGTATAGAATCGTTCGACTTTTCTGTGCGCACTATTTTCGGCGGTTTGCTTTTGCTCCTACCTTTGGAAATACACTCGATGAACCACCAGGATCCACATAGCCAGTAGTCGACAACAGGCGTAGGCTCATTATGTGTTGTGCGAGTTGTGTTATAAATGAGCTTGGTGCTAGAGACCGGTTATTAGTGGTAAGGTCGACGGGAATGAAAGAAACTGGATCAAAGATGAACCGCTTTCATACCGTTGCCCCTCAACAAACGTAAGTCGAATCTCATATATTCGCGGAACATCGCCGCCAATTACGGCTCCACGACTGCTGATCAGTGTGGTCAGGTGGTACTGTAACTTGAACTCGTCAGAATTTTTGCAAGGGAATAACTGGAAAAAGTACGTGAGTGTGATTGGCAATTGGATACAGCGTAACAAATGGGTTGCCAGACATTTCGAGTTTGAGCGTTGTTCCAAATGGACCACGGTTTTGGACGGTTCCGGGTTCTACCACAGAACGTGACATCTGACATTGTGTCATACACTGGACTGCGGATACGTGTAGGGCGATGCAAATTAAATATGCAGCATACCGAGTGGCCATGGTCAGCTGCCGTTGAAGTCTGATTTTGAGCCTCTGTAATCTATCTGTTGAGCGCGTGTGTAGTGCACGATCAAATTGTGCTCGTTTGACATTAGTGAGGCTCTCATGGGATACATGCGGCAACCTGGTGTGGTCTTTAACATTTGCGACGTAGAATGTATCGTCGCCCTGGTCCTGAATTAGTTATATTCCGAATCGAAGCGCCCCTGTGTCCAGAGATCGAGGATAATTGAGCTGCTGCATATGGAAGAAATATTCCTAGACACCACTAGTCTCGATCCAGATCCTACTGACATCAAAAATCTATTAGTAAGGCCTTGCAGAAGAAGCACTAGACTTGTATTTGGGATAGGACGATGGGAGCAAGTGATAGGTATGCATGCAATTGGAACCGAGAATCCAGATGTTGCAGGACATTGCTCGGCCTAGCGCTGACTCGCCGTCGAGTGAATCGTAAATTTAGGTCAAGAATTGTCCCAGCAATGACAGTCCTGAATTGCTGAGGTGCAGTGCCGAGCTCATCTCGGTTTAATACTTAAGTGTTTGTAGAGCCTGTAAAATGAACCCAGAGGTGAAGGCGGGGAGTGTACGTACGGGTGAGATGAACACATTTTTCGAACAACTTAAACTCAGGGCCATTTGCCTTGCAACACTAGACACGTATTTAGGATAAAGGAAGCACATGATAGATATAAACGCACTTGAAACTGGGGACCCAGACGTTACAGAACATTACTCGGTCTGGCACTGACTATGCTGCCATCGCTGAGTGAATTGTGCATGTCAAAATAAACGTGAATCGTCTTGCCGAGGATAACCATAAATTCGGCAGGAGAGCATGCATGCGGGTGACAGGGACATTGATTGATGCGTTTCAAAGGTGCGGAAGAACGATAAACAAGTCATGAATGCGATGTGCTTCGATTCAATTTGTCGGTGTCATCCAGACAAACCATACCTCGGTCCAGGGTCCTGTCAGAAACAATCAGCAGGTAAATGTCTTCAAGTTGCATGCAACGTTGAGAGCCACATGGTGAGAGTTACTAAGCAAGTTTACATAAGCGACTGAGATCTTAGACCCGTGACCATCCACTGCCGCCAGCACACCCACTACAAGACGCGAGCAATGTAGACCGTGCACGAGCCATACGATTTTTTCGGTCAACTACCCACCCTTCTATGTACTCCCATCTTTACCTCCGCCTTGGCATTTTAAAAAGCCACTAGGTTGCCCAGTCCCTCCCCTTAATGTCCGCATCTTTCGCGGGTGTGATCGCACTGGAGTCTCAGAGCGTCATTAGTAACGGTTCAAGTTGAAGAGAGCGATACCGGCGCTAGCTATACCTGCTTATTATAGCTTCTGCATTTCTCATCTGACTATATCCACTCATCGCCCCGCCCAAAGTTTCGCATCCTGTGCCTATGCCAGCTCGTCCTCCTCACTGTTTTCCTATCTGGACATACCCCAATACGCCATGTAGTCCAGCATTCCGAACTTCCTCCGTCTACATCAACTTTGTTTACTCCTCCGTCCCACTGCAGTACTATTTCCTCATTACTCGGGACATTCTCTGCAAGCTGACAGCTAGATAAGCTTTCAGGCTGTCGAACCTTTTTTGAATGTATCTTTGTTTTCTGTTTCAATTGTATTTAAAAGGAGTCTCAAACGCGATGTATGCATATATCGCTCAGGCCTCAAGTGGAGATGAAAGATATCAGCGGATCTTTTGAAGCATATAAGCCTGGCTGTGTCAAGCCATAAATAACAATTGTAAGAAAAGGCGCTAAGCTGAGAGCCTGCGACAGCCGTTTGTGTGAGTGGTCTTATAATACAAATTGACAAGTATAGTCACGGCAGTACTTGCACAGCTCCTGAGATATCTGGGGGTACTTCAATCATTGTATGTCTGATCTCATCATATTTTCTATTTAACGTGACTGTGTTTTCTTACCACGTCAAGCTCGTTGACACGGTATTCTCTGTCCGTGTTATATATATATGGTAATGGAGAGACGTTACGCACCCACCAGTAAGTGGTGCGCATAGCGTCACTGTACCGGCATGCCAGCTAACTACCATCTGCCAGTGATATTCCTTGATCAATAAGCAGTTACCCTCGCGCGCCGTGGATTTTGATCAGTTGGCGAGTCTTAGCTGTAGTGGCAGGTACTTGGAAAATGAGCATGTGCTACTCTGAATATCATATCGACATCACCAGGTACTATTTCTCACCACCGCTGTGCCCATTGCTACTAGCACCTATGATGCCTCCCGCGAAGATAATTTCGTCTGTGGGCTTTTCCCACCTCTGCAATTGTGTCATGAAATCATCACAGAAAGGCCCATAAAATGATCATTGCATGATGCGCTCCTCTACGCTCCTGTCTCGCCTTCTCCGCTAACATGCCGTCGGCTGTGATGTCAATTATGCAAGGTCCGCTTTGTGGTGCCTTAGCTACCATGCTACTCTACGGAGTCATCTGCATGCAGACATTCCGCTACTGGCAAGCATACGAGCATGACAGGAAGATTCTGAAGTGTTTGGTAATTCTGCCAGACATATATAAATGAGGCTTTATCTGATACTGCCACAGGTCGCATCCATCTGGTATGCTAAATTTTGTTCTGTCGGCGTGCCAGCACGAACCACATTTGACCCTTCAGTATTCTGGAGACTGTCCATACGGCATTGACAGTATACGCTGTCGAGTTTTATCTCATTATGCATTTCGGAGATGACACAAATTTGGAATACGCAGTTTGGTGCGTCCATTCCTTCACACATCTATTCTGGTTCATTCATCCTTTATCACAGGGGCATGCCCGTAAGCAGTCGGCACGAACACACAATCTACCGCTGATCTTGCCCCGTTTCGCCAGGCTTCATATGTTATCGGTGTATGTCGTTTTGCATTTGCCTGCCGTTTGTCATAGTGACACGATAGTAGTTTATTATAGCTTATGCTGTAAATCTGTAAGTCTTTCGAAATATCATAAAGGTTGAAAACTCGTGCTGATGTGTAACACCAGTTGTTTCATTTGGCGAATACTGCAATGTGAGTACCCTGATACACGCATTACCTTCCGCCTCAATTGTGTGTGCAGTGAGCCAAAAACGCTGGATCGCTATTTGCTTTGTACGCCGCAACTATCTTTGACGTCGAGAATTCCTACTCAAGCTCTTGTTATAGATCATTTTGGCAACCATTCGCTGTGGTAGAATCTTCTTAATTTTATCATCGAGCTGTACTTGAATTTTCTGCAGGCTTTGGACTTGCAAACTGTTCCTTGAGGTACGTCCTAGTACCTGTATCTGATGATCTAACTACTAACTACAGTTAGGAAAAGTTTCTACTATCCCATGTGGAAGATATTTAGGCAACACGTCTTTGTACGTACCTCGCATATACTCGTGTTCGTTGGTCTCAATATGTCACCAGCCAACTATGGTGGTTGGATGGGTGCTTTCAGCAGTGGTCGATAGTACGATTGCATTCACACTATGTCTATACCTCCGAAAACGTCGCACTGGCATGAATCAGTAGGATATCAGCTAGCCCAACTCCACATTAAATTCACTTCGTTGCCCTTAGAACTGACAGTATCCTTAACCGCCTCCTATTGTATAGCATCAACACTGGTGCAGTCACATCGTAAGCCTACATCCAATGGTCTACCTTTTATGACTCGGGGACTTATTCTCTGTAGGTTCTGCGCTATTCTGGTGGTAATCATGGTAAGCGGATATCGAAGATAGTCCACCTCCAAAGCTAACTTCAATCAGTTTTCTCAGTCTACCAAATAATCTCGCGTTCATTGGTTTTGTCCAAGTCCAGAGCAAACGTCTGTCCAAATTCAGTTCCCATCCCTGACTCCTAGCTGACACTCTGAGCAGTCTATGCGATATCATTTTTGGCATCGTGCGTGTTGTGATTCCATCTTCTATACATTAGCTTAAAATATCCACCAGGTTAAACACTCGCAAAAGACCTGGAATGACCAAGCAGACCGTTCCTACAGTGGAAGGCGTTGCTCTTTCATTCATGCCTGACATTTCGGCGTTCGAGACATCACACCAACAGTCGTCACACCTGGTTCGTACTGCTACTAATTCTTATCTGTCATCGTCTGGCGCTCAAGTCGTATGTTTTAGCCTGCCATTGAAGTCCGGAAGAGTATTGTGATGAATATTTATGGCGATGATCTGGATACTGGAATGGACAGCACAGTTCACGAGAGCGAATGTTAAGTCTGCACTAACAAGCCAGTAATTTTTGTGTACACACGCACGCTGTGTACTTAGTTCATTGCTTACCGTCAGCGATATTTTGATGCTAAGCGTTAAGCATTAGTACAAGGCGACACTAGATTAATAGGCCCATGCCGATCGAACAAGGATCTGTTTGCGGTCGACAGGGCTTCCGGCTGCGTACCTGGGGTAGTAGTAGTTGTAATACGGGCGTGCTACTACATTGCCATGGAGGCCTCTGCCACGCTGGACGTTCGGAGTAAAGCACTGGTATCAGAGGGATACTACCTATAGTACCATGTATGAAATATTACGCCTAATCGTGATCACATGGCCGGCAGCAGTGATTATGCTAATTCAACTGGACTGGGTAGGGGATAGACGATACGATAGAACAAGGGGTGACAGCTGCGACAAGACGCGAAGATAGGAACGACAAGCCTACTAATGCTGGGGATCATCAGGTCCTGTGTTCCGATGCTTGCGCTGCCTAGGGTTCATATTCAGAACATGTTCTTACTTCAACAGAGAGCGAAGGGTTGCATACATGATGCTACCAATGCGCGGGAATTTCCACCGCTTGGAGTCTACAGACGCTGCAGACCTATTAAATATAGAAAAGTGCTTCCACAACGACTTTGGAGGTGAGGCAAAGACCGGGGTGGAAGCTGATGCAGCAGCTATTTGAGGATGGGGGGAGCCTCGAGGGAGAAAAGATGGGGAAGGGGATGCAGCTGAATCACGCGAGTTTGCGATTTCTGGAGGGACTTGTATTCTGTCCGGAAGCTCGACTGGAGGAGAGGCACGGACTAGAGAAGGGATTTCGTGATTGGAGTGACCTTGAGGAGGCAGAGATGGGAAAGGTGAAGTAGCATAATCACGCGAGCCTACAAGTTCTGACGAGAATCCAGTTCCATCCGGTAGCTCGTCCGATGCTGATGTGGAAGATCCCGAAAGAGAATCGAGCTTACGGGAACGTCTGTGAAATTGCAGTCAGATATGCTACTCTATAGACAAAGGACACGAATTTATTACCTTGGTTGATGTATTTGTGATGTTGGACACCGGAGGTAACACATAGGGACGAATAAGGCATTCGTCATAGTGATGATCGCCCTGCGAGCTGTCCCACAGAAAGATTGTGCCTTTTCCAGACCACCTGTGGCGATGAGCTGACCGTCCCTGCGAGAAGGCTACTGTGATCACTACCGGTATGCTGGTTCACACGACCAAAAGGTTTGCGGGTAGAGGTGTCCACAGCCTTCGCGGTGGATGGCCACAGTAATCTGTTGGATTGCGGCATGGGGATCCAGCTGAGCACCTATCAAGAAGTAAATCGCCATCATACAGGTGGGACCAGACTACCGAGCCATCGCGCAAGAAGTGTTGTATTGCTTCAAAAAAACCTCGTTTGCGGGGCAAATGTGGCATTGCACCTCTCCTGCAGCATGGGGTATGATTTCTGACATGGCCCTCATTTTTCTAATCCTCTCGAAAAGGCACAATCATAGGCTGGTGTGCTGCGTCTTCCTCGACTAAATTTCCCATGTCAAAGCGTCAGAATATCGAATGTTGTGATGTTCTACATATATTGCAAATACCTCGACCACTGTGACGAGGCAGAACGCGAAGAGACACGATGTGTCTATGCCAGAGGCAAGAAGACAGAACGTGCTGGAAACAATGTATTGCTATGGAGCCGACCGAAGGGGAGTCCTTGTTATATAATATTGCAGATGTATGTAAATAGTGTGGTCATTGACAAATGCCGTGGACATAGACATGGATGATAACTAGACTCGACGCATCGGCGATTACACAGCTCTCATACGGGGACGTAGTCCTGCAATCCTTCCTTGCAGCATTCTCTACGACCAAAAAGGTCCTTTATCATTGCATCCCAACCGTTCGCTAGGTAATAGGCTAATCCAGACACCACCACAACCACCACAGCAAGCCCAAAACATCCCAGAGCAAGGGTCCCAGCTGGCGTAGGTTCAACGTTGAACTGCAACTTAGCATCAGTAAGTTGACCGTTTTGGCCAACTGAGAAGTGCAAAACGAGGAGAGAAATATTGAGCAAGCATATTGCAGCGCCGATAGCGGCAGCTGAGCCATAAAGGAAGATATTGAGTAGCAGTGTCCAAACTTGTGGGGAGGCGAATACTGCATCTTTGGGTTGCTGTGAAGCCCATTTTAATAGTGCGAGCGCAACGGTTGGCACAATAAAACCGCAGTCGAACAGTGCAAACGCATAGCACATGAGCCCGATGTTACCTCTTGATGACCTGAGATAGAATCGTTGCTGTGCTGAATACATAGAGAACTGGATGTATGTACGTACCCAAATATCGCGCCGTATGTCAAGCCGGCACCGACGAATGCAACCTGCCCGAGAGTCAACAAAAGGTGCTCATGAGTTCGTGATGTTTTCTATGAGCACAGTGAGCATAAGACATGGCGAAGTTTGTGGGACTGTCACCTCTGCCCAATCGGCAAATCCACGGTATCCAGTGCGATCCGCAACAGCTTGTGTGCGAGATAAGAATGTTATGTCCTCTACGTCTTTCTCTAGCGTTTTCAACTACATCAGGAAAAATTGAGTTGCACCGTCCATTAAATATATTCATAGAGTACAGACGTGTGCTCGCAGTGATTGTGATTGTGAAACTTTCTGAAGATACGCCTCGACTTTGCCAGGTATCTGTCAACGAGAAAGTTGATGCGACCGATCCAGCGGGGATACTGCTTACCCCAAGTTCTTGTGCCTGTATGTTGTACCGTTCCTTGCGTACTTGACAGAGCTAACAATTATGAAATGAGAAATTGATATTAATGTACTATCTGTTCGATAGATGAATACCATGGCTTTGCAAAAATCGATCTCTTTTTCAATTTCCTTTGTGAGGTTGTCGCCTTGTTGGACGAACGCAAGCTTGTTTCCAATAGTCAGTACGCACAACGCTATTGATCAATGAAATGGGCTTACGTGGTTATCTGACTCCCTAATAGCGGCAGACGGAAATACAACTAATTTGAGACCTTGATATGACAAGCAGTCATTCAAACGAACCTTGAGAAGCAATATATGGAAGGAACGTACGATGACAGGTAGTAGATACTGCAAGTTGCCGAGCTAGCTGGCATTTCAACTCCATGAAGAACAGCCGATGAAAGGGGCAAGCGCCAGTGAGGGAGGCACTGGAGGGGCTGTGAATTGAGTGCCGTTGTCATAACAGTTCCTCACTAGGAACTCAGGCATACCCTCGAACAAGCCACTCTATGACCAACAGAATGGATAGGCATAACCACACTATTCCATAAGGAAGGAGAATCAAACAACGCAAACATAATGGAAGCCGAACTTTCGTAGATGGACAACCCAACTGAGTCGACATTCGGTGGGCAAAAGAGGCGATAATTGAGCGGAGAGACAAGTCTGTTTTCAACTCCCAGCCCTGCGGTGGCGGGGAATGCTGCATGAGTAAACTCGTGTTGGGAGAATCCAGAAACGCATTCAATATTGAATGTGGTAATAAACCATCCACATGGGAGTTTGGACATTACTCTGCAAATTTCATCAAACATATAACGTTTCATTCTTGGAACGCTATGAGCGCTCTAGATGTTTAGGTGATTTCACAGTGCAAAATTATAACGTGTGTCAGGAGAAAAGTTGTGTGAAGAAGTCAGGACTCAGAGCAAGCTTCAACGTTTCACGGTCACGTGTAGGGCAATAATATTAATTCTTACTTATGCCAACTCTTCACATGGAGTCATCTAGTCAGGGTTCTGATCGCCAGCGTCAAGTACTGTGAGGCTGTGGAGCACGACAACCCGCAAACCTTTTGGCTGTGTAGGCTTCTCGCCAAATGACCAGCAGCCAGTTTGTCATGTCGTAAGCATCGGCGGCACGGGAATTCGTTCATTACCCCAGCGTCCAATCTCGCAAGTGATCTTGAACAGGCAATACAGTTGCGTCTTATCCAGTATTGTAGATCATTATAGACTGACTCGTGGCAAAACTGCAGACTTGCATGATGCAACTGATACTCCTTTACCGCTTCAAGAGTCAAGACTACTCCACTGGCGCCTATTCTACTTTTGCCCTGATCTCTACGGCGTCCGACATGTACCCTTCGCTCTCTGGTCGTGTGGATACTTAAATACAATCCCCGTGCACTGCGGCTGCATGCATCTGAATATGCCACGAACATCATTCTACTTCAGGGTTATAAACCTGTTCCATCTCGTCACATTTCCTGTGCGCCTCAATGCTTTAACAATAATCTTGCTCTCTATTCCCGGTGGGTGTCATATTTACTGCTGAACGCACGTTTGCGGACACAGATGACATTGCCACAGGGACATATCTATGTAGACCGATCCAGAGCTGAGGGTACCACGCGAACATGGTGAAACACCATTTCATACTGATTCTGTTTCGCGTGATATTTAATACATTATAGAGACAGTCATGCATCTACATCAAGTTCATGATATTCGTATCAGCCGGCACGACACTGCTCAGAATAACCTTTGTGGTAGTGGGCTAAGGGCCGGAGGACCCGCTGGTCGCAGGGAAAATGGTGCCCAGCTCTGACAAAAGTGCCCATCCTCTTCTTCATCTGCGCTGTGCGAATCTGTGAATTCACCCTCCCAATGCTCGTCGTTTGTGTCGAAACTGTGGTAAGAAGCAGAAGGCGACGATGATACAGGCGACTCTGGCATTGGCTCCATGACTGGTATAGTAGGTCCCCCCTCAACAAGCCGGACTGTTATTTTGCGTGTGTCTTCATCGATGTTCAAGACAACAGTCTTGTTTTCAGGCACATCGTTCTTGAGGAGGAGCTTTGCGAGTGGTTCCAGGATCTCTGATCGAATCAACCGATCTAACCATTACGCGCAGCCTACATCCCCGACACCCACGTTAGTGGGGGAGGGCTTTGTCGACCTCAAATATCTTCCCATCTGTCATAAAATATTATCACTCCGCGAGCTCAGAATGCATCCAATCAACTCCGCTTTCGGACTTCCAATGCATGAACGCATTGTTATGATAGTACGTCTTGATACCAGAGATCTGTCTTGCGTCCGTTTCTGTACTGCTTGCTTTGGCCTACAATCCAAATGACCTTCTTGTCGACTCTAAGAGTTTGACTGAACACAGCGCTATGATATGCCTGGCTCCCGCCATCTCCTGACACAGCTTGACTGAGAAACATTATCAGGTCCACTTTCGTGCCAGATAGCAAATAGCTGACCGGTTCTCGGATCTATTAGAGCGACTTCCAACCACCCTTTACTGAAGCACACTTCTGTACCGCTTCCTTGGGCCTGCAAACCAATTGATTCTCTTGCCGACTCTAAGACTTTGACTCGCCACAGTTCACTGCGCTTCCGGACCTACACTGCTGATCTCTGTGCTGTGATACGACTTGCAACCTCTCTTTACTGAAGCACAGATCCATCTTGGATCCGTTTCTGTACCGCATGCTCTTGCCTGCAAACCAAAGGATCCTCTTGCGGACTCTAAGAATTTGACTCAGTACAGACCCATGATACATCTTGCTCCCACCATCTGCTGTTGCAGCTTGACTGAGCTGTCGCCTCCCAATGCTTTGCAAATTGTGTCTGGACTGTCTCCGCACCATTGAGCCTCCACAACGTGGACGATGTGCCTGTCATGGTGCGCGACGCTGCTGATGTCTCTTATTCACCCAAGTGAGTACAGCAAGAAATTCAGCAAAGGCTCGCCCGTGGCCATAGAAATGGTGATGCATTTGTAAGTTGCCAGGCACAGCGAATTAAGTCGACACTAATCAGTATCAGGTGGACTTTTGCGCCTGATAGTAAATGGCCGACCGGCTCTCAAATCTATCAGACGTGTCTCGAATCACTCCATTTGCTGCCCATGGCGAGCGCGGGTGCGCCAAAGGCCATGACACACATGGACAACAAAGGTAAATGCAAGGCGGACGGTCCTGCAGGACAAGGTTCACCTGTGAAGAAAGGGATGGTGCAACAGAAGGGCTACCAGGAATAGGTGTTGAGCGGATGTTTCTTCTTCGGAATTCAACCCCCGCGTCTGAAATATTTCATGGTATTCAACCAGTGACAACCACCACTGTGCTTCGAATTGAAATTGGTGAGGATTGTTTTCGCGTTGTGAGCCTGAAGGTGTCGCTGCAGGTGGACCGTACTCAACTACGGCTGAGATCTGTTGTGTATTATCGCGAGGGTTTCAACATACACTCTGTACTTAAGTAGGTGTGTGAACTACAGACAACATAGGCTTGTTATGATGGCGACGACTTGAAGAATTTCTGACAGAGGCAAATCAGCGAAGTCAGGCCTGTGGAAGGCTTCGGGTCTCGGGAAAAAAAGGGAATGGTACAAGAGTTTGCTTCCATGCTATGTGCGTGGCTAAAAGGTGTCGGGGAATTGGTGCGACAGCACCGTTACGAATTGTTTAATGCCGCCTGGAACTGCAGATGATTCCTCACCGCGTCATGGACTGACAGCTGGAGGTCGATGAGGGATAATTGCCTTCTCAGCTCTTCAAGGCGAGCGTGGATCATTGTAATCAGAGTGGCTCCAGACATACGCCGCTAGATAAAAAAAGCTATAAGACACCTATGCTTGTCATTGGGAACAAGATAGAGCACAAACACCGCTACTTTGTCAAGGCACGACAGGAATTCATCAGGGAAATAGGTTTTAATCTCGTTCATGAAGTGCTTGTGCTCCGTCCCCGGCTTTAGCGCTGCAAAACATTTTATATCTCCCTACCTTCTCACAGCATGCCGCGAAACGGATAGCTACGCTATCAAGATGCCATCTAGAGGCTATCTGTTGGGTAAAGAAAGTGACTGTATAGCCACAGTTCGGTGAGACTTTGAAATGACTGTCACCAGCGAACACTTCTCATGACACACAAGCGATGACCCTCACCTGGAGTCACGGATGTTGCGGACCCTTCCATTACAATAGTATGTCATATCGCTGCTAGCACACTATGTTTGCACATTCACCTTGACATCAAATTGTGTTATTTGAAGTCGTCAGCACTAATAAACATATCGTGCCGTCTTCTATTCACATGGGAGGTAATAATAATCTAAGCGGATAACTCACCATCTTCCCATTCTCACTCACTCGTGCCATCCGGAATCTGGTCTTTACACCATGCGCAGCCGTCGATGGTGAGGTCTGCTTCCCCAAAGACGACGAGGATTGAAAACCTGCCAATACAAATGGTTTATTTCTCAATGTGTCAGTTTATGCAGGTGTTATAGGCAAATAAGCCACGCACCTGCCGGGTCCAGAAACACAACCTCTACGAGCACTGATTCGGAGTAATAGTGATGAACACTGCACGTCGGGTCGCGCCCAAACTTGAAGGTACCTGTCTCCTCGTCGATCGGGAATGCTGCTAGTTGTTCATCAGTCGTCCGTTTCATTAGCTGCAGTGTATTATTTCGTTGCCGTCCATGGTAATGAGCCAGTTCAAGTAAGACTGGGGCAGAGTTTGTTCGGTTCGCGTCACGCGACACGTACAGGTCACGTGATCGCGTCGTTCGTAGTGGTCGTGAAACGACTTGTAAGTTGTGTGGTATGTACCAGGTACCAAGCTCCATCGTGAACCACAAGAATGCCGCATCTGAATATCATTACAAAGTGTGAAGTATATCCATGACCGAGAATTATAAGTGCGGCACTAGACTGGTCCAGGATACCGCCTTGTATGCGTCAGGAGGAAGATTGCGTAAAGTGGTGAACATAAGTACCAAGAGTACAGCACGAGCTGTGATGTACAATATGACAGATGTGACAACAATCAGGCCAAATACAAGCACTGTGACCCTCTTTACCAACTTTCCTGTGAGACTCACAAGAAAACAAAGCCAAGGTGTGAAAGTTATAGCGACAGCACTCATGCGCCATAGCACCTGTTCCTCGTATGTGGGGAAGGCAAAAAGCCAAGCCACACAATGGATGCCGCCAAATACGGTTGCTATAAGCAATGCAGCGAGATTGAGAACCATCTTGTCCGAATGTTTGAGTTTGGTGCTGCCATCAAATGTTGGAACTCGGAGCTGTCGAGATGTGGGAATGGGATGCGAGCCTATTTGTCCTGCAATTGGACGGAAGACTGGAGCCAAGATCCCAAGCCAAGCGAGTTCATCTCCTTCGACACAAAGGCAGACATAATCAGCAGTGGTGTAGTTGTTGGGGGCGCGTACGTACTAAACGGCGTGATTCTCTGGCCTTGACTCGGTCGACTTCCAGTACACTGGATGTGGACATCGCACATTGAGAGGCTTGTTCCACCACACAGCATAGGTGAGGAAATTGAGAACCGCAAAAGCGAGTGTCCCCGCTTCGAGCTGGGTGGTTTCGAGGTGATAGATGGCACGGGTAATGAGCTGCATAAGAAACCAGGCCACCTGAAGCATGATCAGTCCTTTCGATATCGCATTGCCTTTGCTCTTGTCCTGGATCTGGTTTGCCGTTAGGGTAGGAGCGTCTATACACTCTTCGTGTATCAGTTTGAGCATGTGATCAGGCTGTAGAGTAAGGTAGGGTTTCCCATCCACATAAAGCATGAAACCACCCATCAGCACAAAAGAGCTGTGCGTTTGAGTCCACGTATAATCTAAGGATGCACATGAGTCAACGCTTGTGTGAGCACGAATCGGGCTTACCTTCAGATTGCTCTGAAACATAAGCCTTAAACAACTTTTTGAATAGCTTCGCAAGAGCATGAGTTCCTTCATGTCTTGAAGTGGGGCACTGGATTACTAGTATGAATTGCCAAAGAAGCACAAGTACAGATGACGGTTTCAGAAAGAATGATTCACTTTCAGACTGCTCCTGCGACTGAGAAACCTTGAAATATTCCAATTCGTTGAACTGTCTTGTAACACGACGAGCGCTGATCAGTTGACGCATAGCCCATGTGACAATTAGTTCAGGAGCGATTAGTGCCATTATCATGATCCCAAGTCGCCGCCGTAGGAGACGAAGGGGGCTCTCCTTGAGACTCGGAATATTAGGGTGAATGGCACTGTATGTGCAGGCAAATAGAGTGAGAACGGAGCTGGAGATGATGGACCATATGGTTCTGGTCGTGAATGATGGGGCTTTAAAGCTGTCGCTAGTAGTAGTATTTGTTGCATTTGTTGTGGGTGCAGCTTGGATGACTCCAACGAGGTAAAAGAAGATGCAGAAAAGTACTACTAAGCGCATTATTGGATGTCACTTTGGGGCGAACACACGGGTATACTATGCTCACTATTTGTATTTTGCTGACGGGCATTATCTCAAGGGAGTAATTGCAATGTACAACGAGGTGACTCCCGCCGCGGCTTGCACTTGATACATCTGATGTTTGCAGCATGACATTGGAGAAGCGAAGTACAGTACACTATCTCATAATGCATAATGTCGGACCCCTCCCTATGCATTATGAGATTTATGCATTAGTACATATGTCACACTTGTGACAAATTGTGACACCGTGCGGTAGAGCATCGCCGGCACAAGTCGGGATATCTGGCAACATCGGCGGTTTCCGAATTTTTCTGCAAGTCAGACTGCAATCAAAATGAGATTGATAAATAAGGGATTTTGAATTTAAATTTCGACGTTGGAACGATAACAAATTTGGAGTGTTGTGAGATGAGAGAGCAAAGTAACATATTTTGACAAATATTTTCAGTCCGGTCTAGATAGATAAAGTATTCAAGTTTTCCGCCAGGAAAATGACAATGCAGATATTAAACTTTGCAATCCAATTTTGTCTTTAGGAAAAATACAAAATTTGAGGCGCATAAAATGGTCAGTAAAATATTATATAATGACTGACATTTATATTCCCGTTGCAAAGCACAAATTTTCTTGTGGGTAAAAGTTGATTGTGAAAACAAGAAATTTAATACATAGTTAAATGACCTGCACATCGGCGAGCATTCATCGCGCGCTACATAAAGAAATCCATCGGGCATTGATTGGGCAGTACACTTGGGCATTTTGCAATTGGCAATTCAGAACACGCGAGAACGAAATGTTTATTGTGTACAGTAATGGCAAGGAGAAATACAGGCTTCCAAAGTACTGTACTAAAGTGTCATTGGTTGAGAGAGGCAAGATCATCAAGTCCAAGATGACTGAGGGTCTCCAGCATTACCCTCTGAATCCAGCCTACGTTTCTACTAGCGGGTGTGAGCTGTCCCGTCACGACCTGCGAGGCGCACAGTGACTTTGTATACATACGACGTCCGTGGGGTTGGTCAATCGGATGCAGTTTTCGCAAGTACAGCCCATCCTGATCAGGCCAGCCGGGTGATTTCAAGGTGTTTGTTTGTAGAATATATGATGACGGCCTCTGTGCGATTGCAGTTCTTCATCCCCATCTCACTTCTGGTAGGCACCGACTCCAAGAGGACATTGTTGTGCAGCATTCATAATTTTCCGCTGTACAGCCGTGGGCGCAGGCCCAACTCCGTCCATATTTCGGCCAATGAGAGCCGCAATTGCACAAGAGTCTCCTGCGCCTCAGGAGGAACCACGGAGTATCAATGCGCAAAGAACTGCGTGAGTTCAAGAACGACATCGTCGAGCGGTTTTGCAGTCGACGAATAAATCCCACCGAAAATCAGTTCTTGCGATGAGCCAATTCGATTTTCGCAGATCCTCCGGACCCCACTAGCGGATCAGCATCGAAACCTGCATGATAAACTGTGTCCGATCAACGGAGCTCATGTAGCTCTCCTTGAACATCAAGGCCGTCCACAAAACGACGTAAAGACTTGGACTCTAGGTCGTCCTCGACACCATGGACGGCGT